TGCTCAAGGGACCATATGGGATGCTGGGAATCGAACCTGGGTCGGTTGTGGGGAAGGCAAACCCCCTACCCGCTGTGCTATCGCTCCAGCCCCTGGAACCTGAATTAAAAAAAAAATCTAACAGTCCACACCTGTTGAGGCCAACTATCTATATAATTAAGAGGTCTTGGAGTTAACTCTTTTATGTACTACTGTACATATTTATCAAAGCATAAGTAATACTCTAAGACTCAAACCTAATCATGAACAGCTTTCTAAGGGTCTATCTTACAATGATTCAATTAAAAAATCTTTTAAAAGGAGAGAGAGAACAAAAGGGCATACCCTGTCACAGAGGCAGGGTGGGATGGGGGGATGGAGGGTGGGAGGGATACTGGGACCCGTGGTGGTGGAAAATGGGCACTGGTGGAGGGATGGGTGTTTGATCATTGTACAATTGAAACCCAAGCACAAAAATTTGTAAATCTACAACTGTATCTCATGGTGTTTCACTAATAAAAATTTTTAAAAGATGTAAATGATGGAGAATGGGCACTGGTGGAGGGATGGGTACTGGATCATTGTATGACTGAAACCCAAGCACAAAAATTTGTAAGTCTACAACTGTACCTCATGGTGTTTCACTAATAAAAATTAAGAAAAGAAAAAGAAAAAAATCTTTTAAACAAAAGCCTAAGGAGCCAAATGTGCTAATTTAAAGCATACATACACATACCATATCTAATTAAAAACTCAATGGTAAACCATAGCCATTGTTTAGAACTTGAGCAATAAATGCTTTTGGAGTAACATTTTATCAGTGACATTATTGGTGATGGCTGTCAGTAATAGAAAGTAGCTTTCCCAGGAGGGGAGCACAGCATGGAGTGCACAGGGGCTATTCCTGGTCCTGTGCTCAGGACTGACCCCAGGCGGTGCCTGAGGGACTGTATGTGGCATTGGGAATTTCAACAGGATTGGGAATTTGGCACATGCAAGTCCATTTCTCCTGGCTCTGCACTCAGGGCTCACTCTGGTAGACTCGAGGGACCAAATGGGGTGTTAGGGATTGAACTGAGTCAACTTGTGTGCAGGGCAAGGGCCTTACCGGCTATAATATTACTTCAGTCCCTTGAGCTTGTGAAATTCAAAGCAGAGGACATGCCCAGCAGGGCTCTGGGTAAGGGCACTCCTGGCAGTGCTCACCCAGACGTCCAGGCCCTATGGGAGTTAGGGGCCCCCCCAGGCCACATCAAGTAATACCTGAGTTATACCTGGTGCTACCTGGGAGCAGAGAGTGGGGCAGTGGCACGTGATGCTAGCTCTCGAACTTGCCTTGTTCATGGCAGGCACGTACTGTGACATTTGAGTTAATGCTCTGGCCTTGTCAATGTTTTTTTCAATTGAGGGGCCCATTGCTGACTGAATTTGGGGCTGCTGGAATGGGAACTCGGTGCCATACACATTGCTCCATATCCCGTTTTCTGAGTTGTCTATTATAACATTCCTTGCTATTGCCTGGCTGATGGATAGATTCCCATGGCTCTGACTTGGTCTGCCATTGTGGTTCTCCTAATGGATTGAATTCTTGAAGATGAGTACCATTATCACCCTACTCTCTCTACAGTTCCTTTCTTTTCTTTTTTCTTGGGAGAAAGGAGGGGTTGAGACATACCTAGCGATGGTCAGGGCTTATTCTTGGCTCTGAGCTCAGGGATCACTCCTGGTGGGTTCAGAGGATCATATGAAGTGCTGGGGATCAAACCCAGGTCAGCAAGTGTACAAGGCAAATGCCATAGCTGCTGTGCTATTTCTCTGGCCCCCTCTCCAATTTCTGTATCCTTAGCCTAGTAGAAGTGACACTCGAGTACACAGTAATACTGCAGACATCTATCTAACAACTGAATTAGAAATGAAAGATGGGGTGGGGGCTTCAGATACATACTGTCACATGATTTTTTTTAATTAAAAAAGTTTTTTCACATATGATTCTTGAAATAGTCAATTACAATAACTGGGTATCTAATGGAAATCAAAAGGAAATTTGTAGGACTTGACCGATCAGATCTTGGTTAGTGTTGGAACAGTGTAGCAGAGAGAATTACGGATAACTTGGAACTTTCTAGACGAGACATAATAGTAAGTTGTGTCATTTTTTTTTCACTGAAATTGGAATGTAAGAGGATCAGGATGCCAGGGGACTAGAAAAGAAAATGCAGAAAAGGTGGATCACTTAGTTCCATTTAGGCCATGCTGAGCTGGAGGTAGCAGAACAACATCCAGATTCTTTGGGAGACAATTGAAAATGTGGATTACAGGGACTGGAGAGATGGAAGTAGGAAAGGGATCAACCCGGGCTTGATCCCAGCCATCTCACACGGTCTCCCAATCACTGCCAGGAATATTGCTTGAGTGCAGACCCAGAGCATCACTGGGCGTGGCCCCCAAGCAAAAAATATGTATAGATTATCGAGGATGCAAAGTATATGCTTTATTATTCAGGCACACTTCTGACTCCTAAAAAAGTTTTTTATTTCTGGGGGCTGGAGAGACCACGCACGTCAATGCTCAAGGATGTCTGGGTATCGTGCGTACCAGGAATTCAACCTGGGGTTTCTAGTAAGTAAAACATGCTTGCAGCCCTTTGCTATCTTACCAGTCCAATATAACAAAGGTTTTACGTTGAGCATTTTGTTACTTTTGTGCATTTATTTTAAAACGAGGGAAAAACAAATACAGGGCTTAAAATGCTTCACAATTAACTTTGGCTCCTGAGTTGAGGGTAATTTAAGAATGCAATGCAGGACAGAAGAGTTTTACTGAGGCTCCTACTAAGTGCAGTATGGGTGGTGAGGATGGAGGTGAGTGAGTCGTTCTCAAAGAGCAACCCTGAGGAAAAAGAGAGGATCTCGGGGCATTTTCAGTGGAGGAATCCCAAGGACGCAGGTTAGTTCTTGGTGCTCTCATGTTTTGGCTCATAGTCCGGATCATCCTGCCCAGGATCCTCTAGATTACATACAACAAAAATGGTGTTTAGCGAGCGTTGGTAGGTGAAATAAGATTATCCCTTTTCTTTTTTGCTTTTTTGGGGGTCACACCCGGCGATGCTCAGGGGTTCCTCCTGCTTTTGCACTCAGGAATCACCCCTGGCAGTGCTAAGGGGACCTTATGGGATGCTGGGAATCGAACTCGGGTTGGCCGCCTGCAAGGCAAACGCCCTACCCACTGTGCTATTACTCCAGACCCGAAGATTCTCCCATTTTAAGTGTCACGCAGTTTTCTTTAATTCCCACTGTTGTGTGTGTGTCTCAGTCCCACGAAGCCAGGGACTGAACTCAGGGCATCATACATGCTAAAGAAGGGATCTATTGATGAGTTACATTCCTGACCAATTTTTTTGTGGTTTGGTAATACGTACCTCCTCTAGCCCCTCAGATCTTACTCTCCACCTTGCAAGGCAAGCACCTTATCCCTTGTACTATCTTTCTGACCTTTTTTTCTTTCTTTTAAAATTATTATTTCGAGGCTGGAGAGATAACACAGCGGGTAGGGCGTTTGCCTTACACGCGGCCAGCCCGGGTTCGATTCCCAGTATCCCATATGGTCCCCTGAGCACCGCCAGGAGTAACTCCTGAGTGCAGAGCCAGGAGTAACCCCTGTGCATCGCCAGGTGTGACCCAAAAAGCAAAAAAAAAAAATTATTTTGGGGGGGAGAGAGGGGGGTCACACCTGGAGGTGCTCCGAGTTTACTCTAGGCTCTGTACTCAGGGGTCACCATGGCGAGGCTTGGGACCATACGTGGTGCCGATCAAGAGAGATCACGGGCTTCACCAGAGTGGGAGGAAAAAACTCTTTCCTTTTAAGATTGTTGGGAGTAGAGCTAACTACTCAACTAAATGTTACAGCTTCATTATAAAAAGTGTCATTGTATAATTGAAACCCAAGCACAAAAATGTGTAAGTCTGCAACTGTACCTCATGATGTCTCACTATCAAAAAAATTTTTTAATAAAAAAAAGGATAAGATTTTATACTAAAAAGGCCCTCCCGTTGATCATCGATTTGCTCGAGCGGGCCCAGTAACGTCTCCATTGGAGACTTTGTTGTTACTGTGTCTGGCATATCGAATACGTCACGGGGGGCTTGCCAGGCTCTGCCGTGCGGGCGAGATACTCTCGGTAGCTTGCCGGGCTCTCCGAGAGGGGCGGAGGAATCGAACTAGGGTCGGTCATGTTGGCTGCGTGCAAGGCAGACGCCCTACCCGCTGTGCTATCGCTCCAGCTATTCCTTCATTATTTGAAAAGCTCAATATTTAAGAATCTAAATGCTTCTTACATTTGTTATATGATAATGTGATTCATAATTAGTATTATATACGCTAGATCATTGGAATTACCCTTCATGTAGATAATTTACACTACAAAATAGGAATCTTTGATTTTTTAGAGAATATAACTTTCCCTATGTATTACTTACTCTATCAGAAGGCATACATCAGTATTTTATCTGAACATAGAAAATATGATAAAGTTTCAAAAAAAAAAAGTGTAACTGAGCAGAGAGTGGATCCTGCCCCACCCATGGACCTTCTGGGCCATCCGAGCCTGCCGGTGGGCACTGCACGAGTCGTGAAACAAAACGAGCCACCGCACGGCGGGGTCAATGCCCTTGGACTGGCAGGATGACGTCAGAGCAGCCGGGTGCTGGCACGCTCTCCCGGGCCGAGACCTCCCAGACCCCGCAGCCCCTTACGGGGAGGTCTCTCAGCCTCCAGTGCCCACAGAGGGTGGCGGGGACTCGTCGGCGGCCGACCGCGCACTGTGCTCGCATTGCCAACAGGCACAGAGGGTCCCGCGTGGGGAACGAGCCGGCGGCCGCTCGGGCAGGCGCCTCCCGCGTGCTCGCTCCTGCCCTTCCGGGTGTGCCGCGCACGCGCAGCCGCGCAGCCGCGCCGCTTCCGGCGCGCAGAGGCGGGGCTTCGCCGGTGACGTCACCAGGCTGCGCCCGCGCGGGTCGGCCGCCATGCTGGCCGCGGGCGTGCGGGCGCGGGCGGCTTGGTGGCTGCGGGGCTCGCTGCGGCGGGCGGCCCCCGAGGCCCGGGCGTCCTGCGTTGGGCGTCTCGGGCCGGAGCCCGCGGCGGGAGCGCGGGCGCTGTCCTGCGCGCGCCCCCCGGCCGGGGACGCGCGGGATGGGCCCCCCGCGGGAGGGCGCGCGGAGCCGGGCGCGGGCCGGGGGTCGGCGGGGGACGCGCCCTTCCGGCCCGGGGAGCTGGTCCTGGCCGAGGCGGGCCGGGGGGACGCTCGCCGCCTGCGGTTGTTCCGGCTGAGCCCCGACGGGCACTTCAACAGCAGCTGGGGCACCGTCTGGCACCGCGACGTGCTGGGGCGGCTGCCCGGCCAGGTGGTGCGCAGCTCGGCGGGCCGGGAGCACCTGCTGCGGAGGCCGGCGCTGGAGGACTACGTGCTGCTGATGCAGCGGGGACCTGCCATCGCGTACCCCAAGGTGACGTCACCCCGGGGTGGTGGAGGGGGGCGTGCCGGGGGTCGACCCCCGGATCGGCTGCGGGCAGGGCGGGCGCTTTACCTGCTGTCCCTGCACCCGCCCCCGAAAGGATTCTTTCTTTTTTATTTTTTTTCTTGCTTTTTGGGTCACACCTGGCGATGCTCAGGGCTGACTCCTGGCTCTGCACTCAGGAATCACCCCTGGCGGCGCTCAGGGGACCATGTGGGATGCTGGGAATCGAACTCGGGTCGGCCGCGTGCAAGGCAGTCGCCCTACCCGCTGTGCTATTGCTCCAGCCCCCCGAAAGGATTTTCTTAAGGTCGTTCAGCCGGCGTCTGAAAGGTGGTCTTCCTGCTAGATTCCGTTGCTTCGTAACCCATCACTAATAGGTGGCATACGTGTGTATTTTTAGTTTAATTGAATCGCCTTGAGGTAGTTACGGGCTCTCATGTGTGGGTTGCAATCACACAATGATCAAACACCCATCCCTCCACCAGTGCACACTCCCCAGCACCAATCTCCCCGGTACACCCCCCCCCCCCCCTTTCTCATGGAAGACATGATTCACCATAATCTCTCCCTACTTTTGGGCATTGTGGTTTGCAGTACAGACTCAGGAATATCACGTTTGGTCCTTTGTCCACTTTCTGCACACTAGATGGCATGATTTTAAGACGAAAGGTTAGGTCCATAGGAGCAGCTATGTAGGGTTAGTTTTTTTGGGGGGGGGGTCACACCCACCTAACACTCATCTCCTAGTGGGGCTGGAGGACTACCTGGGATGCCATTGTCAACCCTGGGTGGGCCAGTGACATTCAAGGCAAGCTCCCTCTTCAGCCCCCCCTGGGGAGCAATAATCTTTTTTTTTTTTGGAAGTTTTTTTTTAAAATTTTCTCTTTACCTCCATACTTGCCCTTTTCTTTGTTGTCATGACTGGAGTCTTTACGCTTCATACAATGCCATTTATTTAACGTGCTGGGAGGGTGGGGGGGGCACTCCCAAACAGTGCCCAGGGGATGCTGTGTGGACCAGATGATTCAATACTCAGCCCATCAATGCAGTGTTGCTTGGGGCCACCCAGGCTGGAGAATGAATTCAGGCCCTTGTGAATACAAGGCATGTTGACAACCGGTTCAACGCTCAGCCCCTGCAATGAGTGTATCTATATTTTATATTATGTATATATGTTTTTAAAATTTATTATTTTTTGGGTTTTGTGCTTAGAACTTACTCCTGGCTCTGCACTCAGATTATTCCTGGCAGGGCTTGGGTGTCCATATGGGACACTGAGTGTTAAACCAGGTGAACTGCACTACCGCTCTGGCCTGATTTACTTATTTTTTCCATGGCATTTATATCATTTCAGTGGTGATACCTCAGGCCAGGTTCTAATTCTTCAGCCTTGTCACTCAGGTCTTCTTATCTCACTTACTGAGATCGGCACATTGTTTATTCCACTTCTGTATTGATGAAAGCTATTTTTATCTTGATTGTTTTCTTAAATTCTCTACTATCTTTAAAGTAAGTAAAGACACTGATGTCTTCCTCAGAATTCCTATCATTGAGTTGAAGGGACACTTGATATGCTAACTGATCCTTGAGTCTAAACCGTTTTTTATTCCTCCATGTTCGACATTCTGTTAGATTGTCGAATAAGCGCTTGGTGTATATTTCTTGCTCACAGTCATCTATACTGTGTTTTAATCATAGGATGTGAGTATGTTGCTCTTGATGATGGACATCTGCCCAGGTGATACTGTCTTGGAAGCTGGCTCCGGCTCTGGTGGAATGAGCCTGTTTTTATCCAAAGCAGGTATGCGATTGGGATAAATAAACGGAACTTAGATGATGGACCATTCAGATTGTTTGTAATAACAAAGGATAAAAATGTTTGGAAAAATACTCAGAAGGCATTCACATTTAAACCAGATTTTGATTTTGTAACTTAACTGCTTTCCTGTGTTGGTAGTGAAGTATCAAAAGTTTCAAACAGTGTGACCAAAGTCTCCTTTTTCCAAAGTTGAATCCGTTTAATTTTTTTTCCTTGCCTAATTGGCTATAGCTAGGACTTCCTGCAATTCTACTGTTAGACTTCTATTTAGCAGATAATGCTGGCTCTTGTACAAAGATTTATGCATAAGAATTTTCACTTTAATACTGTTTAATAGCATAAGATTAACAACAAGTGTTCATTGGTAGGTCACTAAATGAACTGACATAGTCATTTAATGGAAGATCTGTTGAAAATAATCCACTAGGTTGTTAATTCATTGAAAAGGCATTGGTGAGTAAAACAGAAAGTGTAGGGCAGTGTATATATAGCGCATCATAATGTGTGTTAAAAACAGGGACTCTTTGGACCTGATGTTCATCTATTCACCCATGTGAATTTTGGAAAGAGTAAATAGCACTGCACTGTAGTACTGTCCTTCCATTGCTCATTGATTTGCTTGAGCGGGCACCAGTAGTGTCTCCATTGTGAGACCTATTACTGTTTTTGGCATATCGAACATGCCACAGGGAGCTTGGCAGGCTCTGCTCTGCAGGCGGGATACTCTTGGTAGATGGCCGGACTCTCCGAGAGGGACGAAGAAATCGAACTTGGGTTGGCTGCGTGCAAGGCAAACGCCCTGCCCGCTGTGCTATTGCTCCAGCCCAGAAAGAGTAAATAGTGGGAAATAAGGTAGCCTCTAATGAGGGGAGTTGACTGGGTATCTTCGATAGGATAGAAACATTTATAATCTTGGCCTATTTGAATTGTTCTTTCACTTCTAGTACCTTTGTAAAATCAAATTTTGATTTTTTTTAAATGCTGATATAAATTGTACTTTTTCAAAAATTAAGTTGGACCACAAGGAAGAGTTATAAGTTTCGAAATACGAAAAGATCACCATGAATTGGCTAAGAAGAATTACAGACATTGGCGTGATTCATGGAAGATAAGTCATGCAGAAGAATGGCCAGATAATGTGGAATTTATTCATAAGGATATTTCCAGAGCAACGCAGGACATCAGATCCTTAATATTTGATGCGGTAAGTTTTGCCATGTAGGTGTTTTGTTATCACAAAGATCATGTGAAAGGTTTCCCTTATTATGTAGGTCATTGTTGACTCTTAAGAATGGGAGGAGTTACCATGGTTGGACTTCTGGCAGAGAGCCATCTTATCAGCTGCCAGATGTGGCATTTTAATTTTGTGTGTGTTTCTCTTTTTCTCTTTTTCTTTTTGGTGCCAGGGATCAGGCCTAGAGCTTCACACATATACAAGCTTCGCTCTGCTACTGTACCACATCCCCACCCCACTCCCGTCCCCTTCAGTGTTTTTAATAACTGTTGGGTAGTGATTAGAGACTAGGAGTAAATGGTTGAGTATCACAAGCCTCGGCATTTCTAGACTAAGGGGATAACGCCTGGGACTGTAGCGAGCTCAGGAATTCACCTTGTGTTGTGAGATTTGAAGTCGTAAATGTTTCCATTTGAGAGGGAATAGGTAAGATGACTATTTTGACAGTCAAGGTCAGGACCTAGAGGAGTGGTCTTTAAAAGATAGTGATGATTGAGACATTTATCATTAACAAGGCTTTAGAAACAGAAGTTGACACATTTGTAAGGAAATTGGGAGAGATTGAATTAAGGGAAAAACAGTAAAATACTATGACGATAAAAAGGATTGATAACAGGAGGGTGACATTTTTATTTGGTTTTGGGAATATATTGGTACTGAGGCGCTACTCCTGGTTTAGTTTTTGGGGCTGATTCTTGGCAGTGCTAGTGGGATCATGTACTGTGCACGTGCTCTAGCTATATCTTTCCTAGCCCAAGAGTTACTTTTTTGGGTGTTAGGGGTCCATACCCAGTGACGCTCAGGGTTCTGCGCTCAGGAATCACTCCTCTCAGAACTCCAGGACTATATGGGGCTCTGGGAATTGAACCTGGGTTGGCCAAGTGCAAGGCAAGCTCCTTACCACTGTACTATCTCTCCAGTCCTCCAAGAGTGAGATTTTAAGCTATGACCAGTGATAGTGGAGATGTAGGGCCATGAGTATTAATTAGCTCCAAAGTTTCAGAATTCTAGTAATGTTCTGGGTTGGAGCGATAGCACGGCGGGTAGTGCGTTTGCCTTGCACGCAGCCAACGTGGCCGACCCAAGTTCGATTCCTCCGCCCCTCTCAGAGAGCCCGGCAAGCTACCGAGAGTATCTTGCCCACACGGCAGAGCCTGGCAAGCTCTCCGTGACGTATTTGAGATGCCAAACAACAGTAACAAGTCTCACAGTGTTACTGGGCCCGCTCGAGCAAATTGATGAACAATGGGAGGACCGTGACCGTGAGTAATATTCTAGCTGCTCTCTCCTTGTAATGTTCGTAGTTTGAGAAAGGATTATGGTCTGGGTCAGGCCGTCTTCAAGTTCCTTAATTGGCTGTTGGAAGTTTGGGTATTTTTAGGGCCTTTGTTTATTTTTTTATATTTTCGGGGGCTGGAGCAATTGTACAATAGGTAGGGCTTGCACGTGGCTGACCTGGGTTTGCTCCCCAGCATCCCATATGGTCCCCTGAGCACCGCTGGAGTAATTCCTGAAATGTAGAGTCAGGGATAACCCCTGAGCATCGCCAGGTATGACCCCAAAACCAAAATTTAAAAAAATATTTAAAAAATTTTTTTGAGATCTTAGGTATTGAATCCAAGGCACCTCACAGGTAGCAACTGCTGACCTAGATCCTCGGCCCTATTTTAGGGTCTTTAAAAGGGAAACTAAATGACAACTGATAATAAAATTCAGAGCATATTTTTTATCAGGCTTGGTTTTTGTCTTTAGTATCATTATAAGCCTATCATTTTCTCTGCCTAGCTGCTTTGTCTTGTTTTTTTTGTTTGTTTTTGTTTTGTTTTTGGGTCACACCCAGTAATGCTCAGGGGTTACTCCTGGCTCTGCACTCAAGAATTACTCCCGGCGGTGCTTGGGGGACCATATGAGATGCCGCGGATTAAACCCAGGTCAGCTGCTTGTAAGGCAAATGTCTTACCTGCTGTACTATCGCTCTGGCCCTTGGCATAGCCTCTTATTCACAAATACCACAGTTCTTTTTTTCCTCACTATTTGGCTTGCATTTACTGTTCAGTTTGGGCAAAAAGGTGAATTGCTGTAAATAGGCTATCCATAAAATGGATCTGCTAGGTATCAGTCACATAGCAGATCAGGATTTTCTTTGATGGAAATACACATACAATGTTCTTTTTGGGGGGTAGAAAGGGTAGGGTTTGGTCCATTCTTTGCAGTGCTTAGGAGTGACCCCTGGCTGTGCTCACGGGGACCATACGAGTACTGGGAGGCCAAACCTGGATTGGATGCATATAAGAAAGCACCTTACACCGTGTTATTCTCTCACTGATTCATAACAGAGTTTTTCGTAATTTAGTTTCTAGAAGCCCTTTGAAGAAGCATCCTTGATTTAAAGAAAGTACTTCTTACTGGATAAACTTGCTTGAATCTCTTTCAATAATGATGCCCAATGACTACTCAGTATGAGAGAATATAGAGAGCTGCCAGCTGTTAGCCAAAGTATTCGGAGCAAAGTATTGTAGTTGTTACCTATAAATGAGTTAATCATAATGCAGAATCATGATATAGAACTTTATCTGTAAAGTTACATAAAGCATGCTCCTTTAAGAAAGTCTCTCAAGGGGATGAAGAGCTAGTACAGTAGCAGGGCATTTGTCTCGCACATGGCTGACCCAGATTTGGCTGACCCAGATTCAATTTCCAGCACCCTATATGCTCCCCCAAATATTGCCAGGTGATCCCTGAGCAGTGAGCCAGGAATAATCCCTGAGCATCTTGAAGTGCCCCCCGCCCCCCAAAAAAAAGTTTCAGTTTTTTAAAGCACTGCTTGAAGGTAGTGAAAAGGTATATGAAAAAGAAATAGCTGTTATGTTCCCACTGCTTGATTTTTCTTTTTTAACTTGTTCATTTATTATTGCTCCTTTTGTTTAATCCTCCAGCTAGTTGCCATTTCACCTCCTCACTTCTGGGCCAGTCCTTTCATCACTTGCATAAGCCACCCTACTCTTCTGCTGGAAAACTCTTTAGGAGCTTTTCGTTCAAAGACTGGTCCTTCCGAGTCAGCCTCAAGCTGCTTTGCTTCTCTCAGCTTATTATCTAACATCATCTTCCTTTGAATTACTAAACCACTTTATTCTACAAGCGTGCACTAAAGACCTGCTGTGTACCATGTTGCTCTGCAGACCAAAAAAATGTAGACTTTTAAAGAAGTTTTCAATCTAGATGAAAAAAATCAAAAAACAGGAAGATTTGTGAAATACCAAGGTGGTACCGTTGGGTATCAAGGTGAGATCAGTAGAAGGGCTGAGTCATGCCTCGCCTACAGGAGGCCTGGGTTTGACCGTCAGCAGTGCATGGTCCCCTCGCCACTACCAGGTGTGCCCTACAACAACTACAACACAAAGATGAAGCTGTGAATGCAGTCGTGAGGGGCTCGATAATGAACACTTGTATGTATATCACGATAATAGGAAACTAAGGTGACTTGAGAGGCGTAGAATGTATTTCATTTAAAAATACTTGTAGAAGAATCGGGGCTGGAGAGATAGCACAGTGGGTAGGGCGTTTGCCTTGCACGCAGCCAACATGGCCAACACAGGTTCGATTCCCAGCATCCCATAGGGTCCCCCGAGCACCGCCAGGAGCAATTCCTGACTGCATGAGCCAGGAGTAATCCCTGAGCATCGCCGGGTGTGACCCAAAAAGAAAAAAAAAACAACTAAAAATACTTGTAGAAGAATAGAGGCGGTGTAGAAAGCTGTTGTGATATTTCATTGCATTGATGATAAGGTCCTGACATAAAACATTGCAGTAGACCTAGGTAGATTTGTGAGAGGATATACTTTTCATTTGTCTTTGGGTTCTGCCTGAAGGTGCTCAGATGCTGCTTGCTAGGGGTTACTCTGGAAGTGCTCAGAGGAACACATGGTGCTGTGGATCAAACCTGTGGTCTCTTGCTTGCAAAGCTTGCGCTCCAGCCCATTGAACGGTGATTTTGGCCCAGAATACATGCTTGTACTCTTAAACAGATACCTCCAAACCCCACAGATTGTCAAGTGAGAATTCAAGGTGAAAATAATCCCAGATTTGACTCCAGTGACTGATGAATGGTGATGTTAACAGAGCATTCAGAAGGATTGACAGATTTCTTATTTATAAAAATTTACTTAGATGTGAGGGAAGAGAAAGAGAGGAATGAAGTGTTCAAGGGAGAACATGGAAGGCCAGCTAGTTCTGCAGGTATGATACTTGTCGAGCTCAAGGCAGATCTATCCTCAGTACCTCATGAGACCCCCTGAGCCACAGAGCAGGGAGTAAGCCCTGAGACAGCTGGTGTGTGCCCCACCCCCGCCCCCAGGAACAAAAAATAAGAGCACTGGCTTCTCCAGAGGGGCAAGAACAGAGGAGAGAAACGGAGAACATGCGTCACCAGAGTGGGAAAAGCCAGATCATGTCATTCTTTAAAACTTTCTAGTGACTTACCTGTTTTTCTTGCTATTCAATTTTAAGATTTAGTATAAGCATAATCAGAACCATTGAAATATGAAACTTTTGTGTAGTAAAAGAATAAGAAAAATTAGATTGAGAGAAATATTTCTGAATCACATATCTGATGAAAACCTAATGTAAACTCAAGATTCAACAAGAAAACAACCCGGCTTTAAAATAAGCAAAAGGGGCAGGGGTAATAGTATAAAGGAGAGGCATTTGCCTTGCACATGGGTAACCCAGATTCAATCCTGGGCTTCCCAGTATGTCCCCTGAGCAACAAGTACAGGAGTGATCCCTGAGTACAGAGCCAGGAATAACCTCTAAGCAATTCCGGGTGTGGCCCAAAAATCAAAAAAGGGAAAAAAGAAGGCACGAGATTTGAATAGGCACTTCTTTAAAGAAAAAATTGGTAATCACATGAAAAGCAAATCATTAAGGAGTTAAAAATTTAAACCATAATTATACACTAACATATACATATATTCGGGTGGCAAATATTAAAAATGACAGTGCCAAGTGTTGACAAATGGTGCAGACCAAGTAAAATTCTACAGAGCTGTTGGGAAGACCAGTGACCTTCCTCAAGCAGAGCTAAACTCTTAGTCTGTCTCGAGTACCCACTTTGTCTTTTTTCCTTTTTTGTCCCCACTGCAGTGACAGTGGCCATTTCAGACCCACGAAGTAGTCTACGGCCTCAGAGCATTTGTATTTGCCGTTTCCTCCAACGGGAGCATACTTTTCCCCTTAATTTCCGCAGGGTAAGCATTACCATTTTCTTCAGGTTTTTTTTTAAAAACTCTTTTCAACTTAAGTATAAAATAGCACTCCTTTCCCTGCCCTGTTTCTCTCATATGATTCTCTATAATTCCAACTGTTCTTCATGTCTTTGTCCCCTTGACTCCTATTTACTGGGGTCTGTGTGATATCCATCCCTTCATAAGAATTTTAATTCCCATAACAATATAAGCTTTTTTTGTGTGTCCTTAAACTTAGCAGAATGCTTGGTACACAGAAGGGGCTTGGTGCATTTGGTGAAAAAATAAGGAATGCTGTTGCTTTTACCCATTAATACTGTTTTGGGTCGGGCGTGTGACTCAATGCGAAGGGTTGCTTCCAGCCATGTACGGGGTACCATGCAGTGCTGGGGATCAAACTGGGGTTGGCTTCCTCAAGGCAGTTTGCTTGAACCTTTGTGCTGTCTCCCCACGCTCCCCTTAATAAAACAATCAAATCATTTATAACTTAATAAACATATTAAGGGACCAACCTATCTTAGCTTTCTGCTGTTGGCTATCTATGAAAGTTACCAATTCTTTTTGGTGGGACCTGGGTCATCCCTTGTCCTACTCAGGAACGAACTCCTGGCTCTTTGCTCAGCGAACCGTATGTAGTGCTGGGGATATCAAACTTTGGTTGGCGGCATGCGTGCAAGTCAAATGCCTTAACCCATAAACTATTTTTCTGGCCCCAAAGACGCTGGTTTGTATTTTGACTTTTTTCCCCCTCATTTACTCATTGTATTCATTTGACATCATTTGTGAATACAGTCCTATTTTCTGTAGCTGAAGGAAGAATGAAAAAATAAACAATTCTTTCGTTTTAGAATTTTTAAATATTTAGAAATTTTTGAATATAAAAGGATATATTTGTGATAGGCACTTTTGTTGTCAACTAAATTATGTTTTCTCTGCTTTTTTATGTGCATGAAATATGGCTGAAGACTGCTTTATTATTAGTACTGCCAAGTTTTAAAATATACAGTTACAATTGTTTCTAGTGAAGTAAAATAGATTTAGATAAATTTTCTTAAAAAATCTGCATTGGGAGAGATAGGTACATCATGTTTGAGATGCACAAGTTACATTTTTTTTTTCTTTTTCTTTTTTGGGTCACACCCAGTAGTGCTCAGGGTTACTGCTGACTCTGCACTGAGGAATTACTCCTGGTGGTGCTTAGAGGGCCATATGGGATGCTGGGAATTGACCCTGGATGGGCCACGTGCAGGGCGAATGCCATACTTGCTGTATTGCCTTTCTGGCCCACCCCCGCAGTTGGTTTTTTTTGGTAGGGCTTTTCCCAAATTGCCCCCACCTGGATAACAATCTTCCTAGGGTATCATCAAGGAGGAGAGCCTTGGGTTCTTGATCACCTTTTTCATAGTTTGACCTTTAGATTCTCTTGAAGCTTCTCCCTTTCTCTGGTATACCTCTACAATTTTTATGTGGTCAAAAAGTATCACAAGTTGTATTATACCTTTTTGGATGCAGTAAATCGACAAGTTCAGAGTATTCCTCCCCCTCCAACCCCAACGATGTTTAAAACTAGCTCATAATTGGGAGAACATAAAAATCTTTAATTATAAAACCACAAATGAAGTGAACGCTTTAAACTGGAACATCTTTACATCTTTAAAGATGTAACTTGTGCATCTTTAAACTGTTTACTCCTACATTCCAGTTTGGAAATGCATACTTGCAAGCAGCAATACAAAAATATTCATGAAGAATGTATAATTTCTGAAACCTATGAAAACATCCCTGCTACCAGTATATTTCTAGATATGAAACTACCAGATTGTACTTCTGTGTAGTGAGAGGAGTTCACTTTCAAAATATAAGATTTAGTCTTTAGGTATGAATGGTATGAGTGAGTTTTTAAAATTTTTTTCTTAGTTTTAGATTCTTTAGCATGCAAAACATCAGTGGAGCGATAGCACAGTGAATAGGGTGTTTGTCTTGCATGCGGCTGACCCGGTCAACCGAGTTTGATTCCTCCGTCCCTCTCAGAGACCCCAGCAAGCTACTGGGAGTATCTCGCCCGCCCCGCAAAGCCTGGCAAGCTCCCCTTGACGTATTCGATATGTCAGACACAGTAACAAGTCTCACAATGTTACTGGGCCCGCTGGAGCAAATCGATGAACAATGGGCGGACAGTGACAGTGACAACATCAGACGAGGATCTACAAAGGAACTGGAGTTGTCTTATGGTATCCAGTTAATAAGCTAGAGCTGGGAATGCTTCTGGAATAGTACTCTATTTTAAAAATGAAATACTGTAACTGAGAATTGCTTTCTAAAAGGATATCGTTTTGCATAATAAAAAATGAAAATCTTTGCTTAAACAGAATTTAAAGTCTAACCTTTTTTCTTTGCGGATAGGTAGCTCTGGTTATGTTGAATCCTCAAGTTGCTTTGCCTGTGTTTTACCAAAATCTTAAACAAGGTGGTGTATGTGCTTTATATCTAGCAAAGTAAGTACTGTAGCTGTTCTTGGTGATATGGGTTTTTTGTTTTCACTTTTTGGACTACGTTCAGCAATGGCTAGAAGCCACCCTGATGTTACAGATCAAACCTGAGTCTCCTGAATGCAATGCATAAATTGTTCTGTTACGCTCCCTTGCGCATGATGTGATTTGGAGTACATTTTATGTTGTCTAAGCAGTAGCTTAATGTTTATTCAAATTGAGTTAGGCGTATATGTCAGTTCATAAAACTGTTAGGGAATGAATGTCTCACATTAGTCCTATTATTTTTTAAAGCATTAACTATATAAACAGTAATATGCTTACTCTCATTTGGAAGAAAAGTTTTAAAAGCATAATGTGAATAATAATGTTGAATTATGGTCAGTGTATGTGTTTTTACTTAGTATTTTATGAAATTGCTTATTTTGTGGCCTAACTTGCAGTTTAATCCTTCTTCCCCTCATATCATTTCAATTTAGGTAAGAGACTGAACTTCATTATTTTACAAATGTAAACTATTCACTTTTTTGAAAGCATCACACAGGTTATCGAACTTTTAGATGGAATTCGAATCTCTGAACTTGATCTCTCATGTGAAAAGATAAGTGAAGTCATAGTCAGAGATTGGTTGGTTTGCCCTGTTAAACAGAAAAATGGAAATTTACCCCCAAAAGTGGAGCCTAAAAGCCACATAGATCTACAGTCAAATTCTATGAAACCTGAAGATGACAGTTTTCATGAAGATGACCATGGTGAGTTTTTTTTTTGGGGGGGGGGCTGTTGATGCTTATCTTTGCAATCATAAATGGAGAAATGGGCTTCATTTCTCCATTTATTATGCAATGATCAATAAATTACAAAAAATACAAAAAGTTTACTATGCAGTGATCAATAAATTACAAAAAAATACAATTCTCAGGTGTAGTTTTTTTTTTCTGTTATATCTCTGAGGCACAGAATAATAATTCCCTCTTTTAAAACATAAAACATTTTTAAAAAATAGATAAAATATAAAACATTTTGAAGAAGTGAGATTTTAGTAACATTTGTATTTTACTTGACAGAAGATTAGATTGGAAATATTTTAAAAATATGAAGGAGTATTTTAATTTATCATTATTGGTGGAAGTAAAGAATTTAGTAGAGACTTATACACAAATATATTCCAAAAAGTAAATTTTAAGATTCTGAGGGTTTTTTCAAAGAAGAAAATTTATTGTAAGTACACATTATTTAGGCCATAAACAAGTTTTCTAGTATCCATTGACTGTATCATGTTTATGTATTTGGTTCTAAAACCATTTAAGTTTATTATATAACATTTGATATTTATTAGGTAACTGACTCAGTAGCTTAGAAAACAATTGCTTTTAAAATAAAGGTCTGAGGAGCCAGAGAAGTAGAGCAGTGGTCAGGGTGCTTACTTGCACATGGCCAGCCTGGGTTGGATCCCCAGCATCTCTTATGGTCCCCTGAACACATCCAAGAGTGACTAATCCCTGAGTGCAGAGCCAGTAGTAACCTCTAAGCACTGCCTGGTGTTGCCCCAGAATCAAAATAAATGTCTAAGAGAAAAAACCTTACAGTTACAGGACTATTACCGTTATCTTAATAATTTTGTGAACAACTTATAAAATGTAGCTTACACGTTTTTTTCTACAGCAGAGGAATCACATTATGATTTTCCATACGGATCAGTTCCCTATATTGCTAGACCTATACACTGGCAAATTGGTCATACAGGTGAGTAGTGTTTTCAGAACATTTTAAAGGGTTTCTTCTTCTAATTATTATAATGACCTTGCCTTTCTCCCCCTTAAAATAGCTTTTCTTGTCAAGCTGAGGAAGTTCAAACCGCAGCTTAATGGAGCATCACCCTCGGATGACAGAATCTGATTTGAAGATGGAAGAGTATCAAAACAGAGCTTTAAATTATAAACCATTACTTTCATATATTGGAATTTTTAGCTATTAATATATTTATAACTTTTACATATAATTAATTATGAAGTATGAAAGGAACAGAAAGTTGCATAACACTTCAAAACTGTTAATGTCCCTTTGAGACTTGTCTTGCAGTTAATTTGACATTTGTAGTTATGATTTTAACTTGGTTTAGTTGCATCATCTCATTCTTCACTTCCTGTAAACCACTCCATAGATTTGTCATTCTCCATGAAATTAATTTTCTTTTCTTTCTTTGATTGATGGTCACTGGCTACCAAAATAAAATATTCATTTTAAGAAAAGATTTTTGTATTGTAAATAGATATGTGAATGGCTTGCGTGTATCTCAAAATAAAAATCTGTTATCCATTATGACAAGAATGTAGAACCAGATTAAAAATAGTAACAAAAGGTGTGACAAACCATGACTCTTTCAGAATTTTTAACCAGCCTGAAAGAACATTATAATTGTTATGTAAATCGAACATGGAGAAACACACTTTATATGAATTAATTAGGACCAAGGCTTATTATGTATAGGCACCCGTTACATAGCATTTAGCAATGTGCCATAGATTATTACCTTCGTATCTGTTTTGTTTCAAGGCCACATTGCTGGTGCTCTGGGCTTGCTTTTGGTTCTGACCATATGCAGTGTTGGGTAAAGGGTCAGCCATGTGCAAGACAAGAACCTTAAACCCCTATAACATCTCTCCATCCCTGCCATGCATTTTAAGCAACTTTTACTGTTTTTTCATTTAAAAGTGTAGTTCTGGTTGAACCTGTCCATGTTTGGGGTACAATGTGGTACCAGGGCTTGAACTGGGATTAGCTGCTGTCCCATCTATCTGGTCCCTAGACACTATGTTCTGTGGTTGAATTAGATGTTAAATAGTAACAGATACAAAGCTAAAACTGTTACAAGTACCCCACAGAAGTTCAGGTATTATAGAGTTTTGCTTTTGATTTTTGGTTCTTGGCCCATACTCAGCAGTGTTCTTAGGTTACTCCCAGTATGTTGTTTAGGGCTCTTGCTTTGCTAAAGGGACCATGCAGTGCTACAGATTAAATTTGGGCTTCCTCCATACTAGCCTATGTGCCTGGCCCGGTGTAGTCTCATTTTTTAAGTTTATTTGTATTTTATAGACAAAGACTTAGAGTTGGGATATTGTTTAAATGCAAATGTCTTTTAGTTTTGTTTTTTCTTTTTGGGTCTCACCCTGGCGATGCACAGAGGTTATTCCTGGCTCATGCATTCAGGAATTACTCCTCGCAGTGCTCAGGGGACCATATGGGATGCTGGGAATTGAACCCAGGTCGGGCACATGAAAGGTAAATGCCCTACCCGCTGTGCTATCACTCCAGGCCCATGTCTTTTCGGTTTTAAAGTAGTGCCTAGGAGGATACATGATACTATTTCTGGATTCATTCCCTGAATCTGAACTTTTTAAATATTCTATATATTTTACAGTATTTTTTTTACCATGTGTTAAAATTTAACCTATAGATTTGCTCTTATAAATTCACTTGTTTTTGAGGGGTGGGGGGTGTGTCTGGTTGTCTGAGTAATGTTTGGAAGGCTTAGGGAGCCCCTTTACCAATTCTCTGGGAGCAAATGCAAGCATCTGAAGAAACAGTGCTGCTCCAGTCCTGTGTTGCCAGGGACTAATGAGGCCACCGTGCTGGTGCTATGGTTGAACATCTCGATGTTTGGGGTCCATGTGGTGCCAGGGATTGAGCTGAGGTTAGCTGCTGTACTATCTCTGTGGTCCCTAGACTTTTTGGTTGAATTAGATATTAAATAGTAACAGATATAAAGCTAAAGCTGTTATAAAGTTCTCCAAAGAAGTTCAAGTATTAGAGTTTTGCTTTCGTGAAGAAATTACTAGAAATTGTCAGTAACAGTTTTGAGTTAAGACTTCCATGATAAGTAGGAGTGAACTTTAGCAAGAAAAGAACAATGAAGACCAGTGATTCTAGGACTGAGAGACTAGAAAGACAGGCAAGTGTCATTTCATGAAGATTCATATAGCCCTGTTTTGTTTTTATTTTGGGGCCACATCTGGCAGTGCTAAGGGATTACTCCTGGCTCTACACGCAGTAATCACTCCTGGTGGGCTCAGGGAACCATATCTGATACCGGTTGGCTGTACGCCCTACCGTCTAGACTTATCACTTTGGCCCCCCTTGTAGCCCTATGAAGGAGCTGTTCTATTCTAAGTAAATAGTGGGGAGGGCAAATGAATAATCCATCTGAGGTAAGAAGAGATAGTATGCTTAGATCTTTTTTAGTATTCTAGTTCATTCTATATGATAAGAATCTGAACACTCAAAGTGACAGCTTTATCATTTCATAGCATTTCAAGAAGCTTTGAACTATATCATGGAATGCTTTCTTATTATAGTATGTCACTATTCCTGTGCCTTAAATATTGTTTTGAATGCCTCCTTCCTAGGTGCCAAGCCCTAACTGTTCTAGTGGGGAATGGTTTAAGAGCAAAGAAAAGTTGTACTCTTTATTCATATTTCATTTACACTGCTCACTATAAATGTGTAGATGTGGGATTAAGTTCTAATAGTGTCAAAATAGCTTTACTGAATACCAAATTATGTAAGAAATAGTATTTATTAGTAGTTAAGTATTAATATTTATTAATAATTACTCAAAGTCTAGTGTCAGCCCTTTCACTATCTTGTATTGGTACCATGTTTATAGTCTGGCTTATAGGAGATGCCTTCTTTTTTTTTTTTTTTAATTATTTATTTATTGAATCACTGTGGGAAAAGTTACAGAGCTTTCGGGTTTAGGTCTCAGTCATGTAGATACCGAACACATTTCCCTTTACCAATACTCATTTTTAACCCCGAACCCCAATAGACCCCCACCTCCCACCCCTCCCAATTCTTGTGAGGCAGATGAGTTCTAGTTAATACTCTATCTACTTTGACTAGATAGATTATTTCGATAGAAGATGCACAATTATTGTTTAGAGTTTACGACCCACCCCCCACAATCAGACATGCTGAAACAGCGTTGTGAAATGATTTGCTTTCTACAACTTGGTTTAAGAATAAAATGATGTTAAGAATAAAATGGTTTTGAATTTCTGCTATTTTGGGCTGGAGCGATAGCACAGCGGGTAGGGCATCTGCCTTGCACGCAGCCAACATGGCCGACCCAAGTTCGATTCCTCCGCCCCTCTCAGAGAGCCCGGCAAGCTACTGAGAGTATTCGATATGCCAGACACAGTAACAACAAAGTCTCCAATGGAGACGTTACTGGGCCCGCTCGAGCAAATCGATGATCAACGGGAGGGCCTTTACTTTACTTTACTTCTGCTATTTTACTTATTGACCCTGGAAGAATTTCTATTAAAAGTTAGCTAGTTAAGAGATTGGTTTCTGTGCCCTGGAGTCGTGGCCGTGCCGGAGAGCCGCTCGTGGGGGGCAGCTGGCGACCTCGGTGGGGCGTGGGGGACGGCCCACAAAGCCCCCCTTCCCATGAGGTCCCCGCCGCTCCCCCGAGCCCGGCTCAAACCTGCTTTCCACAAGGCTCCCTTGCGGCCGCCATCTTTCTTTCCAGAGAGGAGCGGGCGGGCCGGTCAACGCCCTTTCCCCTCCGGGCAGGCTTGATGGCGCGGTTCAACACAAGTCCATTTGCTTTTCTGCTCCAAGCGGCTGGTTCTCTGTGCTAAGTCCTTGTGCCTCCGGGGCCGTGGCTGTGCCCGAGAGCCGCTCGTGGGGGGCAGCTGGCGACCTCGCTGGGGCGTGGGGGACGGCTGGAGATGCCTTCTTTTTAAAAAATTTATTTTTTGCAGTGCCAGAAGATTGATCCCAGGGCCTTTCACAATCAAAAAAAGCACTCTACCACTGAGTCTCATCTCTGGCCTGATGTAACTTCTAAAGTTACTCTTCCCTGTTCATATCTTGCTTTCCTTTCTTATACTGTAAATTTCTAGAGATTAGTGAAACTCACAGTGTCTTTCCAATACCTTTAAAATTCCCACCTTCTTCTACTCACTAAAGGATCAAAATTTGTTGGTAGCTTTGTCTTTGCTGATCATACATTGTTTTATCTCCTAAATGAATTTTTAGGAAGAAATTTGGGTTTGCAGCTCTTGGTTTGCGGAAGACTTTGAGTTTGAATTTTATAGTTGGAGGCAGTAGAGAACTTCAAAGGTTCTATGACATACAAAAGAGGGTGTGTTTTTTTTTAAGTCTTGTTAGTGTATGAGTTAAACTGTTAAATTATAAATTTCATAATAATTCATAGTATACAACTATGAGATGAATGGTTGTAGTATACAGCTATGAAGTAAGGAAGTGACGTCGATTTATAAAAGAAAAACTCTTAAGGAAGCTACCACCGATCACCAGTGGTGCGTGGCGGGGCAGTGAAATCATTTGGTCAGGCTCTGCTCCTGCAACTGCAAATAAATGTTTGACCAAATATAGCTGCCTGTTTTTTAACGTTTTTTGAGTTTTAAGTTTTGCTCAGTATTTATTTTGGGTTTTGGACCACACTGGTGCTATTCCTAGCTTTTTGCCCACAGAGCACTTTCGGCGGTATGTGAGGGATTATATGTGGTAGTGGGGATCAGATCCAGGGAAGACAAGCGCCTTAACTCACGTAGCTATCTGGCCACTAAGTTGATTATTTTTTATGACCTACCAATGATGTTATTAATATCCAAATGAATCCTTGGCAGAAAAAATGTTCCCCACCCATTGCAACGTAGAGGGAGAGAAGCTATATATTTTCAGATGTTATCTGCTATTTAGAAGCCATTTCCCTTCTCTGGGCGTAAGAGGAGTTCGTTAAGACCTAGCTCACGTATTACTTTCTCATGAAAGCCTTTACCTAGTTTTACCCCACAAAATTCTGGAAACTTGTGCTCCTAGATGTTGATCATATAATTAACATTGTCCTTACATCATTCATTTCTTAAGGCATTCATATATGTGTAAGGATTTTAAACCTGGATTACTACCACATTGGTAATGACAGAAACAAAGTTTAGAGGAGAAGTTGTTTTTTGACAGAATAGCAGTGACGTTCTGTGCCTGCTCAGGGGAACCAGGACTCTGGAGTGGTACGCTGTTTCTTCCCCCTTAGCTGCACTTCACCAGAATCTCAGGGTTTCTCAATAGACAGTAATGTTCCTAATGCTTCAGACAGACTGTCGCAGTTGTCAAGGCTTATGACGGTATAAGGTGAAGAGAAATGACGTAAGTCAAAAATGTGCTGTGTATTCAGAGAGAACTGGATTCCCGTCTTTGCTGAATCTGTTGATGTTGCAACTGTGCTTTCTGAGTTTTGTTTGTCCACCAGTAAAATAAAATGATTGTTACTCCAGTTCAAATTTCTTTAGCAGAAACAACCAAAACAGCAAAATAGGATTTCTTGAACAGGAGTGTGTATGTCATGTGTTAAGTGATTCTACCTTGTGAGTTGCTTTGCACATAACTGATGATTGTGAGTTATATAAAACAAAAAAAAATACCTCATTATCCTCCTCCAAACTTTTGAACTGAAAGGCAATTTGTTCTTAGGTACTAAAAACATGTTAATATAAAACTCAGGTACAAATTATTGACACCTGATGATGAGACCCCCCCAGAGAGCCTTAGGACCAGATACACTCGTAATTCCTGGTCATTACAACGACAGAGAAGGTGGGAGGGAACTAAAAAGAAATTTTCCCACAAGACTTAAAAATAGCCAGCAATTAGGTATATGGAAGGGTGCTCAACACCACTAATCGTCAGGGAGATGCAAGAAACCATGATGATACCCTTTTACACCTGTTAGAATGGCTCTTACAAAAAAGGGAATGTGTTAACAGGAGGTGGAGGGAAGGGAGCACTTGTACTGTTGGTGGGAGTGTAAATTGGCATAGACATTAAGGAAAACGGTATGGCGATTCCTCAGAAATTTAAGAGGGGGCTGAAGCAACACTACTAGCACAATTCTGACCCATGCTTGATCGCTGGTATTGCGTTTGGTCCCCTCTGCGTTTGATCACTCTGCCACGAGTGATCCCTGAGCACAGAGCCAGGAATAAGTTCTGCATAGTGCCGGCTGTGGCTCAGTCTCCACCCCCCAAGATTTATTTTTAAATAGAAGTATCCGATTCAGCAATTTCACTTCTCTCTATTTTAAATAAAAATCACTGCCTCAAAGATACCTGCACCCTTGTGTTCATTGTAGCACTATTTAAGGCTTGGAAATAAAATTGAATATTAACTACAGAGTGATAAAATGTGGATATCATGATATCAAGGCGATACAGGAGTGACCATCCCACAAAGCACAGAGCTAGGAATATAAGCCCTGAGAATACATGAATTTGCCCACACTCCTCCCCAGACCCTCGACAAACAACCCTTAAAAAGGAATTCTACTATTTGTAATAACATGGATTGACCTTGAGGACATAAAGCAGACAAAAATACTGCAAAAGTTTACTTATGAGTAATAAAAACAAAACAATGGAGATAGCTCAGTAGCCAGATTGCTGAGTTTGAGCCCTGACACCACATGGTCTAACTTGATCCTTCCCCTAGCATAGCTGGATGTAGTTCTGGAGGCCCCAAACTCGGTGTCCCCTGGGCCTCCCGAGTATTACTTGTCTGTCAAACCTGCCCTCCCCACCAACACTAAAAACGCACCAAAACTTCATAGGAAGCAAGGCAGAAGTAGGCAAGTGAGTAAATACCAAAAATCACTAGAAGGTAAAGATTTGGAGTAATTGTAAAACAGATAGGGTGCTTGCTTTGCACGTGACTAACCCAGGTTCAATCCCCGGCTCCCCACATGGTCTTCAAACACCTACGTGGAGCGATTCTTGGAAGAACTGCCCACTTCCAGGTATGGCCAAAAAATCCCCAAAAAACCCAAAATAAAAATGAATGTGTCTTGGGGATATCATGTACAACATGGTGACTATATATAGTTAACAATACTGTATATTTAAAAGTTGCTACAAGTAGATTGTAAGCATTCTTATCAAAGAAATTAGCTTGATAATTAGCTTACTGTGATAATTACCTGCAATAAATGCATATATTAAATCTTACATCATAATATTAGGTGTTAATTATCTGATTTTTTAAAAGTGTAGAAGAAAATGTTAAGTCACTGATAAAGCTGAATGGTGTTATTTACAACTCAATTTATTTTCTCCTTCAAACTTTAGAATAAACATTTTAAAGAAAAGTGGATCAGTCTCAAAGTACTCAAAATATTTGCCACTCATGGTATTTGGTTTGCAGTTTAACATTTAAATGTTTTTAAGTAAGCTATCAGAAAAGATTTATTGGCAAGAAAAAGCAGTAACTGAAATGGGGAGAACTTTCAATACTAATTTAACTGATATTATTGTGGTATAAAAATTATCTACTACTTGTAACGGTCACAAGTCAGTAAGTAACTTGGATTTATTAGTAACTTGCAAAACTTAATTCTAACATCACTCAATCATACCTTGAGAATAGCTATGAGCTTGATCAACTATTATGTCCTTTGGGAAAGAGTTGTGTGATTCCTGAGAATGCTTTTCCATCCCCACTTCGGTCTCACTAGATGAAGATGATGATGAAGACAGTCCCAGTCTAACATATCTCCCTTTTTTACCACAGAGCGAACAGTCCACAGGTGTGGCACTAGGTCCTCGAGGCAGCTGAACTTCATCTCTGTTGTAGTTTCTGACAGCTCCGCTGTGATGCACAGAGCGTTCTCGTTGCCATATATAATGGGTTGGGGCAATGGCCATAACCTGTAATGGAAAGCTTTCTTTCAGGATTTTAATATGATCTTAAAATTTAATAAAATTAGGTACAAAAATCCTAACTCAAGAACAGTTGTGTCTAAACTGATCTAAAATTGAAAGTTTCCCATGTTAAAAAGTATCTCTAGTTAGCAATATCTATGAAGGGGTTCTTTGGGGCCTTTATAATGATAATAATAATAGACAAATTATTTAAATTATTTCAAATGGAATACGAGATTGAAGCAACCATCCAAGTTTTCCACTTTTGAGTATTCTAGCTTAGGAAAGAAAGAGCCCCAAATAATACTAACTAGAATGTATTGGGTTGAAAAAAAATGATGGGGGACAGGTTTGGTTATACCCAGTGATGCTCTCGGGTTACTCCTGGCTCTGCACCAGGAATCACTCCTGGTGGAGCTTGGGGGATGAACCCGTGATGGCCACCTGCAAGGCAAATGCCGTACCTGCTCTATTATCGCTTTGACCCCAGTGATTGGGGTCAATTGAAAATATTTCACGTGAAGGTTTCCAACAATGTATGTTTAGCTAATCTTAAAATGGTTGCAATGATGGCAAGCGATGAGGCACATCAGAACATGGGTTAAATTAGTCTGTTCTTCAGTTCCCTTGTATGTAACACAAAAATAAGAGTGTCTATTAAATTAATTTGGGTTTTTGGGTCACACCCAGTAATGCTTGGATTACTCCTGGCTTTGCACTCAGGAATTAGTCCTACTGGTGCTCAGGGGACCATATGGGATGGCAGGGATTGAACCCGGGTCTGCCGCATGCAACAAACACCCTCTCTGTTGTACTATTGCTCTGGCCCATATTGTTTATTCTAAAGTGCCTGGATTCTATCCCTGGCAGTAAATCAACCTACAAGCTATGTTAATTTTTATAAAGCATACTTTATGATTGAATTTTATAATTCTTAAATTCTTAAAGTCTTTTTCAACCAAAAACATGAAATAAACTTATCTTTGAAAAGGTAAAAGCCGTTAAAGATGTCAACGCTACTCACATTCTAGACAGTGTAAAACTGAGTTGAGAGCTGCCTAAGGTGTGAAATTAGAATATCAGAATCTCATTCCTTCCGGTCTGTTTACTTACTTTCGGTTTTAGGACCATATCTGGCAGTACCTGGGGGTTGCTCCTGGCAGTGCTGGAGGATCAATGGTGCTGTGATTGAAATTGGGCCTCCTGTATACAGAGCATCTCTATCCTCCAGGTTGAGTTATCTCTCTAGCCCCACTTCCAGCTTAAACTATTATTTCTTTAACACTTTTGTATCTCTCTTTCCTACATCTGGAATGCCCTGTCTTAGTATTGTTTGTGGCCCCGCTCTTACCCCCACAAAAAAACAAAACAGAACACCCAGCCTAAGCCCAAATTTCTAAAAAAAAGCTTTTATAGTGTATTAGGAATTTGAGAAGACATGTCAAGTATTGGATTCATCTCCTACTGCACACAAACTATCTGTCAAAAGTCCTGTCTGGGCACAAATAGCCTCATACACCTCTATATCAAATGTTCTCCAAACTGTTATGTAGTCATTAAGTATTTTTTTTTTCTTTTTGGGTCACACCTGGTGATGCACAGGGGTTAGTTACTCTTGGCTCTGTACTCAGGAATTACTCCTGGCTGTGCTCGAGGGACCATTGGGGTGCTGGGGATTGAACCCGGGTTGGCTGCATGCAAGGCAAATGCCCTACCCGCTATGCTATCACTTCATCCCCAAGTATTTCTTATACACAGGTGAAAATCAAGAATTAATGGTCACTGACATGAATCTTTAACATGATTTTCTTAGAAATCCTACAGCAAAGTAAAAAGCAAAATTCAAGGACTTTAGATTGGTTTGGTGCTGTTCTTTCTGCAAAAAGCTAGGCATTACTATCCACATGCCAGTCCAGCAAGAAAAATAATGCATACACTTGTTTATTTTAAAACATGACAAAGTGAGCGAATTTAAGAGAAATAGTGTACCACTGGCAGAGTCTCCTGCCCCTGCGCCTGGCTGTCCTTGCCAGGGTCCCTTGCAGGGGGCGGGTTGAGTTTCCCTCCCCGCCCCGAGCAGAGCTCCGGCAGCCGAAGATCTCCAGAACCAGCCGTAACCATGCTGAGACCACTCTCCACACGCATGAAGGTACCGGCAGAGGAGCAAAGGCATGTGGGTCCCGGGGCTGAGATCTCCAAGCCTGCTCGGATCGGGGCTGAGCATCCTCCACCCAGATCCTTCATCCTCCAGTAGGCAGGGGTCACACCCACCAACTGGCCCCATGGCGCCGTGTAATCCCATCAGTGGCCAAGACCCAGAGACTATAAAACCCAGTTCCTGGAAGCGTGTGGCCACATTTGCAGCCGTGCAACATCTTATTATCTCATTCTTATTTTGGACAACCTGGCAGGCTACCGAATGTAACCTGCCCACACGGCAGAGTCTGGCAAACTCCCTGTGGCGTAACCAATATGCCAAATACCAGTAACAATATGGGTCTCATTCTCTTAACCCTGAAATAGCCTTGAATATGGCACTTTTTAAAATCTCAGGGCTAGGACGAAGGAGACGTTACTGGGGCCTGCTCGAGGCAATCGACGAAAAACAGGATGATTGTGATCGTGATTGTGAGTGTACCACTATCAAGAGATTTTGGTTTTAATTTTATTAGTTCTATAACTTTAGATAAGTTATATAAGTTATAAGTTATAAGTTATATAAGTTATAAGTTATAAGTTATATAAGCTGGGCCACAAAACATCTTTTATATATTATAAAACATCACATAAGGCTCTCAAATTCTGAGATACTATGAAAAGGATTTTTTCTGAAGCACTGATAGCACTTAAATCCACTAAAAACATTATCGCTTTTAGTTTCATTTTACTCTTCAGTAATTCATGTCAGCACCTTTTGTATATGTTCATAAAACTAAATATCCGGCCCTCTTTTTCTCTATTTACTTCATAATTTCAAGAGGTAGTATAGTGTAGCAAGGTAAACACACTGATCTAGAGTTCCTAGGTTTGAACACTGCTCTTATACCAATTAATGACCGTGGAGAAGTCCCTCAGCCTGTCTGTGCATATTTTGGCACATTGGTGGTGCTGGGGATGAACCCAGGGCATTCCGTATGCTGGGTAAGTGTTCTACCACTGACCCACATCCCTAATCCCATCTCTTCTGTGCCTCTTTTCTCAACAGGGATTGCTTATCTAGTTGTCAGAATTGTTCTAAGGGTTAACATGTGGCAAACTTAGAACAGTACTTGATAAGTGCTCACTTAAGAGTATTCACACTACTTCCCACTTTGGAAGATCTACTCTATCAAGCTTTAAGTATCCTTATATGAGACTGGTGGTGGGTTTGTTGTTGCAATATTGGATGTCTTTAACAAATCATGAACAACTTTGTAAACCATGATATTTTAATAAAGTGTGGGGGGAAAATCCTTATATGTGATTATGTATTTACTGCTCTTGATCATTCACCTATGTAACTATATCCTGGAGCGATAGCACAGCGGGTAGGGCATTCGCCTTACAAGCGGCCAACATGGTCGACCCGAGTTCGATTCCTCCGCCCCTCTCGGAGAGCCCGGCAAGCTACCGAGAGTATTCGATATGCCAGACACAGTAACAACAAAGTCTCCAATGGAGACGTTACTGGGCCCACTCGAGCAAATCGACGATCAACGGGAGGGGCCTCGAGCAACTATATCCTTAAATGCATATCTGATACCAAATTTGTTATATTTCCAATAAATCAGTTTGCTTTTACAGCTTCCCTGTTCCCATTATGAAATAATCCACAACTCTTTCTATTATATAAATTTAAAATCCTGAGAACTCATTTCCTAATGTACCACATTTATATCACTATGTAAGGGGAACTGGGCTGGAGCGATAGCAGAGCGAATAGGGAGTTTGCCTTGCACATTGCCCACACGGCTGACCCCAATTTGATTCCTCCGCCCCTCTTGGAGAGCCCGGCAAGCTACCAAGAGTATCTCGCCCACATGGCAAAGCCTGGCAAGCTACCCGTGACTTATTCAACATGCCAAACACAGTAACAACAAGTCTCACGATGGAGACATTACTGGGCCTGCTCAAGCAAATCGATGAACAATGGGAGGACAGTGCTACAGTGCTACAGTAAGGGAAACTATCATTTTGTAATATTGAGTCTTCCTTAACATTGCCATCTTTGTCACTAGGGTATAACTTGCTTCCTGATCTTTGTCAAGTTTAGAGTTTCAACACTTTCCCTATGTTGTGGCTTTTCTGCCTATCATTGAATTATTTTGTTCAAAACATTGCTTTCTGTAGTCCTCATCCAGAATAAATCAAGTGATAACTGACAGAGAAATCAGCCTTTTTTTTTTTTGGTGGGGGTGTGGGTGGGGGTCTTGTTTTGGGGTCACACGGGTAGTAGTGATCAGGGTATAATCATGGCTTTTTGTTTAGGGACCACTCCTAATATGATCACTTCTAATAGGTTATTGTGCCATCTAGGTCAGATAACATAATAATCATAGAGAAGAAGTTCCCCTTGATAAAACTGCTACCCTCTATGATGGATAAAAGGGGTGGAATTGAGGAAAACTGATTCTTATTGGGTTAGCATCTTCCATAATCTGTGTGTCATAGATTCCAACTCTGAAAAGCTCAAGTCCAAAAAAGGAAGCTGATTCTAAAATATTAATAAGTAAGGAAATATTCTTTAGTCTCTTCTATTTGGTTGGTTTCTGAGCCATACCTGGCTATGCTCAGGGATCACTCCTGGTGGGGCTTTGGGAAAAAATATGGTGCCAGTGATCAAAAACAGATCAGCACGTGCAAGGCAAGTGCTGTACCCATGACAGTGTCGCCCCAGCCCTGTGATAATTTAGTTTTTAGGATCTTTCTGCTTTATCTAAAATAGAATCTGACATCAATAAAACTGTGAAAAGAGGTATGATTTTTAAATGCATTTAAATTTTATCATATGTTCTTATTTAAATTTTGTAAACCTGGAATTTGAACTTTAATAGAAATTATAAATTTCTGTGTTGCTATTTTTAGCGTGTGACACCATCTCCTCCTACTATATTGGCGATCTTTCAGATGAGAGAAATACACTAAACTACAGTAGTAGGTTCTTCTAAAAAAGAGAATTAATGACTTAATTATTGTGTTATAAAATTAGGTCATGCCACCTAAGCCTTAAACTGTGCATCATGACCTGATAAAAGAGTCAGATGAAATAAATCTCAAATCTTTTTATAATTTGTTATTAAATGCTCGATTTTTAAATATATTTTATATAGGTATATACCCAGGCCATGTAAAAGTTTCTTAGGTGAGAGGCCAGAGCAATAGCAATGGCTGATCTGGATTTGATCGTCAGCATCACATATAGTACCCTGACCACCAGGAGTAATTCCTGAGTGCAGAGCCAGGAATAACCCCTAAGCATCAATGGATGGGGCCCCAAAACAAAGCAAAACGAAATTTCTCAGGTGAAAGACTATTTCAAGTGAAATTAAAAGTCCTGGTCAAGAGTAGGCCTGAACTGAGTCTGTATCTTCTAGTAAACTGTTATCTACTCAGAAACAATGCTATTCTATAGGTTGTGCCTGCACTCTGATTCTTAGCTACTATTCTCTATAAAACCTTTCTTATTCTTAATACAGTGGGTAGGGCATTTGCCTTGCATGTGGTCAACCCAGATTCTATCCCCAGCATCCTATATCATCCCCCAAGCCCTGCCAGGAGTAATTCCTGAGCACCGCTAGGAATTACTGATCAAAAAAAGCCCCCCAAAACAAAACAAAAAAACCCAGCATTATAAGGGTTGTGTAGATAGCTCAAGTAATAGAGCACATCCCTGAGTTTGCTACCTGGCACAGAATGGCCCCTCCAAGCATCAATAGATGTGGTTATGGAGCCCCCAGAATCAGTGGATTTAGCCCCTATAAGAAGATAATGCAGAGTCTCCTGCCCCCATGCCTGGTTGTCCTCACTGGGGCCCCTTGGAGGGGGGTGGGTTGAGTTTCTCTCCCCGCCCCGAGCAGAGCGCTGGCAGCTGAAGACCTCTGGAACTGGCCACAGCCATGCTTAAGAGCACTCTCCACATGCTCGGCCGAGCCTTGTGCATGAAGGAACCGGCAGAGGAACCCAGGTGTGTGTTGACCCAGGGCTGAGATCTCCAAGCCCGCTCGGATTGGGACTGGGCCTCCTCCACCCAGATCCCCCATCTTCCAGTAGCTAGGCGTTACACCCACCAACTGCCCCGGCACCCATGTAATCCCATCAACGGCCAAGACCCAGAGACTATATAAACCAAGGTCCCGGAACGACCTCTTATTGTCTAGTTCTCGATCTTGGAGAACCCGGCAGGCTATCGAGAGTATCCTGTCCACACAGCAGAGTCTGATGAGCTCCCTGTGGTGTATTCCATATGCCAAAACCCAGTAACAAGGATGCGTCTCATTCCCCGACCCTGAAAGAGCCCCCAATGTGGCACTTACAAATCTCAGGGCTAGGACGAATGGAGGCGTTACTGGTGCCTGCTCGAGGAAACTATAAACAATGGGATGACAGTGATACAGTGAAGAAGACAACAAAACGTTGTAATGTACAAGTTGTGTTTCATGGTAACTTGCAAGATTAATACTCCTCTCTTATGTGTATTAAAATTACAAGCATATTAAAAAGACAAAGACAATTTACATAAAGATAAAGATTAAATATAGAAAGTATTTTTAATCTTACCTCCTCACAGCATCGCCTACTTACAATAGCCCTATAGTCAATTCTATCCCAGAGCTGGTCCCTTAACTTTAAGAAATTAGGAAATAATTTTCTCCAGTTTTTCCCTAAAGCCCATGGAAAAATTTCATATTTGGATTCTTCTTCATCTTCTTCAACTGTATTAGCCAGATACCTAATAAAGAAGACCAACAATTCAAAAATGAAATAGAGACAGGCAGTTCACTAAATAAAGTCCCCCAATAAACACTAAAAGGTGCTCAATTCTAACCAAAATTCAAGAGATATAGAAAAAACTTGATATACAGTGATGTTTATCTTGTTCTGGATATTTTCGTGTAACTATGTATCTTGAATTTTGTTTTGGGATACAGTTACTTGATAATAGTCTTATGCTTTCAGATCTAGTGTGTTAAATAAATCTAGAGCAATGTTCAACTTGGGACTGCGTATACAATGAAAGATGCACTGAGTAGGATTAGAGGATTAAATATCAAAGAACAGATTGTGTACTGAATACAAAGCACTAGCAGCTCTCCAAAATGAAACACAGTTAAAAATGAACAAAAGTAATGAATTGAACACCAATGAAATGTAATAGAATGTCAAGCAGCCTAAAGAAAATGAAATTATGGTCCTAAAAGGTGGCATGTAGACAAAAAAAAGTCTGAAGAAATAGTGGCTCAAAAATTTGAAATGTGATGAACTGAATAAAACTCAAAGCACAAAACATGAAGAGAGTCACACTGAGGCATTTAATAAATGACTCAAAACTAGTGATAAAAATTTTAAACAGGGAGGGGGCAGAAAGATACAACACAGGGATAAAAATAAGGATAGAGTAGATTTCCCACTGGAATCAATGCAAGTACTATTGATGACTTTTCCAAAGGTAATTTACAATTAAAAAAAACTATAAAACACAAAGGGGATAAGACACAAAAAGCAGGAACAGATTCTGATCTCTGGAGATGCTGAAATGAACAAACTTCAAAGGAAAAATAAGTCTTAAAGGTAGTCAGAATATCAGAGAAATTATTCCAAATAGAAGTAGGTGACACAATCATGAATCATAGTAGACAGAGAGGTTTGAGTAAATACAAGCACTGTCAGGTCTTGGTCACCCCCATAAAAAGCGCAGACATATAGGACCAGGAAGTCACTCAGTGGTAAAGGACTTGCCTTTATACATGAAGTACTGAGTTAATTCCCGGGCACAACATATGCACAAGAAAACAGGTGTGCTATGACAATAATGGCTGGAACTGATCACTCTGGACAAGATCTGAGGGTTGAAAGTAAGTAAGTAAGTAAGTAAGTAAGGGATATTCTTAATAACTTTTCAGTATTGATATTGCAAACCACAATGCCCAAAGGAGGGGGTGGGGGGCTGGGGCTGGAGCGATAGCACAACAGGTAGGGCGTTTGCCTTGCACGTGGCCGACCTGAGTTCAATTCCCAGCATCCCTTATGGTCCCCTGAGCACCACCAGGAGTGGTTCCTGAGTGCAGAGCCAGGAGGAACCCCTGTGCATTGCCAGGTGTGACCCAAAAAGCAAAACAAACAAACAAATAAAACCCCACCAAAGGTGGGGGGTGGAAGAGTGGGGAAAGAGAGAGATAGATAGAGAGAGAGAACCTGGGGGACACTGATGCTGGGAAATGTATACTGATGGAGGGATGGGTGTTGGAATACTATATGACTGAAATCCAATCATGAATGGCTTTGTAATGCTCTAAAATAATAAAGACCAAAAAAAAGGTGTATAAAAATTATAATCTCTAACTTTTTTAGACGGTATCAGGTAAAATTATAGAATTATAAAATAATGAGAATATAAGTTAGGAAAGGAATATATCCATGAAATACTGGCTCACATATAAAAATTATTTCTAGGCACAATAAAATGTTAATTATACTAAGGGAGGCTAATGTCATGAGATAGGAGGAATAATTACCTTTATTTGTAAGCTCTTATACATAAACTCTTATGTAGTTTTAATCCATGTGCATATTCATATTTACTGTATTAATTTAGAATAAGCCATCATTTTACTCCTTGATAATAACTGCATATATTTTAATATTACTTTCATTCAGTTATGTAATGAATCAAATCATGTTCTCTATAAAATTATGTAATTTCTTACTTTCAGTGTCCCTGATAGTTTTTGTAAAGGTTATATAGAGATGTTGACCCTTTCAGTGCTTTTGAACTAAGTAGCACTGTCCTCCCGTTGTTCATCGATTTGCTCAAGCGGGCCCAGTAACGTCTCCATTTTGAGACTTGTTACTGTGTTTGGCATATCGAATACATCACGGGTAGCTTGCCAGGCTTTGCCGTGCGGGCAAGATACTCTCGGTAGCTTGCCGGGCTCTCCGAGAGGGGCGGAGGAACCGAACCCGGCTTGGCTGGGCTGGCTGCGCGCAAGGCAAATGCCCTACCACTGTGCTATCCCTTGAACTAAGTAAACCATGGCAAATCTATAACGCACCATGGTATTATGATTAAATCATAATTCTACTCTAAATGACCTTTGGGATTTTATGTGATGGAATATCTGTGTCATGATCATATAGGGGTTAGCATTCTATGTTGTGGAAATATCTGTATTGTATAGTTATCTTCTAATCTAAAGTAGCTAAGAGTTTTCTGGAACAGAGTCCATTTCTCTTGTATAATAGTTAAAGGTAAAGGTAAAGGCCCTCCCGTTGATCATCGATTTGCTCGAGCGGGCCCCGTAACATCTCCATTGGAGACTTTGTTGTTACTGTGTTTGGCATATCGAATACGTCACAGGGAGCTTGCCAGGCTCTGCTGTGCGGGCGAGATACTCTCGGAAGCTTGCCGGGCTCTCCGAGAGGGGTGGAGGAATCGAACTCAGGTCGGCCATGTTGGCTGCATGCAAGGCAAACGCCCGACCACTGTGCTATTAACCGTTGTTAATTGTGTTTATTCATATATGAAATCCTCTATAAGTCACTGAAGGATGCTTTAAAAGTTCCTTGCTTTTAAGAGGTCGGAGTCAAATAAAAGAGGGAATTAAATAGGAAACAAAGGACTATAAAATAAAATGGGGAAGAGTGATAAAACAGAAAGGAAAAGAATTTGAGTTACAACTATAGTTAACAAATATTTAATGGGTACTGAGTCAGGTTATACGAAAGTATTTTAGATAGCACTGTAGCACTGTCCTCTGGTTGTTCATCAATTTGCTTGAGCGGGCCCAGTAATGTCTCCATTGTAAGACTTTTTTTTTTTTTAATGTAAGAGTACTGCTATTTATTCAGCCACTGATTAGCTGATTGAATTGGGCATGAACTCCACCATTGTGAGACTTTTTGTTTCTGTGTTTGACATATCGAATACATCATGGGTAGCTTGCCAGGATCTGCCCTGCGGGCGAGATACTCTCAGTAGCTTGCTGGGCTCTCCAGAAGGGGCGGAGGAACTGAACCCCAGTCAGCTAGGTGGGCCTCGTGCAAGACAAACGCCCCACCCGTTGTGTTATCACTCCAGCCCCATGTTTAGATATAAAATAGAAATTATAACTAATGTAATATCAAGTGCTAGAAATAAAACCCAGGGCCTCATACATGCAAGAAATGTTGAATTAAATTCCTGGCCATGTTATATTTAATATAGCATGCATGCAATGCAACTGTACTAGGTAGGGTAAAATGACACCGTGATTTACTGACAATAACTTTACAAGAAAGTAAAACAATGCCCAGCATCACATGGTCTTCCCAAGGACTCCCAGAGAGTGACTCAAAGTACCAAGCTGAGAATATTCCCTTAGCACAACCAAGACTAATACAAAACCTCTCTCTGGCTAAAAGAAATGTAAACAATATATATTCTTAAGTTCTGGCTATTGTGAATAGTGCTGTGCTGAACACAGAAGTGCAGATAGCATTTGTGCTGTGTTTTTGGGCCCCCTGGATGTATTCCCATAAGTGGTTTTGCTGAGTTGTATGGAAGTTCGATTTCTAGCTTTTTGAGGAATACCCATATTGTTTTACAAAAAGGCTGGACCAGTCAGCATTCCCACTAGCAACAAAGAAGACTCCCTTTCTCCCAGCATCCACCCAGTGGCGAATACCCAGCATCATACCAACGTCAAAAACAAAGCATTATTCACAACAGGCAGAATCTGGAAACAACCCAAGTGCCTGAGAACAGGCACTAAGGAAACTATGGTACATGTACACAATGGAATACTATGCAGCTGTTAGAAGTTATGAAATTTGCTTATAAATGAATGGACATTCAGAGTACTGTGCTGAGTGAAATAAATCAGAAGGAAAGGGACAGACATAGAATGATTGGACTCATTTGTGGGATATTAAAAAAATACACAATATGAGACTAATACCCAAGAACAGTAGAAACGAGCCAGGAGAATTTGTCCACAATTAGAATTACCCCCAGCCTCAAGTGCTGGGGGAGAAGACAGTTGGGATAGAGAAGGGACCACTGTGACAAAGGTAGTTGGAAATGATCACTCTGGATAAGAGCTGCATGCTGAAAATAGGCAAAGGAACAAACATGATAACCTCTCAGTATCTGTATTACAAACCATAATGCCCCAAAGGGAGGGGAGGAAAGAAGGTAAGGAGGGGGAAGAGAGAGAGAGAGAGAGAGAGAGACAGACAGACAGACAGACAGATGGGGTCAGAGAGAGAGAGAGAGAGAGAGAGAGAGAGAGAGAGTGCCTGCCATAGAGACAGCCTGAGGGGAAGGTGGCGGGAGGAAACTTGGGACACTGGTGGTGGGAAATGTACATTGGTGGAGATATGGGTGATATTGGTGGAGATATGGGTGTTGGAATACTGTATGACTGAAACCCAACCATGAAGAGTTTTGTAACTCTATCTGATGATGATTCAATAAAAAAAATTAAAAATCTGTGACTGGAGTAGGGAGGGCGTTTGCCTTGCACGAGGCTGACCTAGGTTTGATTCTCAGCATCCATATGGTCCGCCAGGAGTGATTCCTGAATGCAGAGCCAGGAGTAGCCCCTGAGCATCACCAGGTGTGACCCAAAAGAAAAAAAAGAATAAGAAACCACAACTATTTCAAGCATCTAGTATCATTTATATATTTTTTGGCATGTGGGGCCATGACCGGCAGTGTTCACAGGCCACTCCTGGCAGTGCTTTGGGATGTATGTGATATTGGAGATAGACCACGGTTTGGCCACATGCAAGGCAAGCATCTTATTCCTTGAGCATTATGTCCAGGCACTAGATAGTACAGGTTTTGTGAATGATTATTCTTTTGGTTTTTAAAATATTTAAACATTTTTTGCTTTTAGGGCAACTCCTGGTGGTACTCAGGGGATACAGCAAGCTTACTACTCAAGGATTGCTCCTTGTAGGTTCTTAGGAGACTCTAAGGTATCCGGAACTGAATCCAGGTCTCCTGAATGCAAATCATGTGCTGCAGCCCACTGATATACCTCTTTGGTTCATGAGATGAAAATTCTTAAATGACATGGCTTTTAGCTAAGCCTGGGTCAACAGAGTGCAAAGCCATGTCATTAAAACCATGTAACAGATCATAAATCGAATGTAAATATCAAAAAGGAAGACATGGAAAAGACTATGTTTCTTGGGTGGAGTTCAATGTGTTAAGTAAAATACACCATTAAAAATGTGGGAGCCCTCAGGATGGGAGAAGCATGCTGAGAGTAGACTATAGACCAAACATGATTGCCACTCAATGCCTCTTTTGCAAACCACAACACCCAAAAGGAGAGAGAGAACAGAGGGGAATGCCCTGCCACAGAGGCAGGGTGGGATGGGGCGGATGGGGGGTGGGAGGGATCCTGGGATCCATGGTGGTGGGAAATGGGCACTGGTGGAGGGATGGGTATTTGATCACTGTATAACTGAAACCCAAGCACAAAATTTGTAAGTCTACAGCTGTACCTCATGGTGTCTCACTAATAAAAAAAATAAAATAAATTTAAAAAATGTGGGAGCACAAAAACACACAGCAGAAAATCCATCTGCACTTCTATGTTCAGTGCAGCACTATTCCAATAGCCAGAATCTGGAAACAGCTTGAGTGCCCCAGAACAGATAACTAGATAAAAAAAAAAAGTGGTACATCTACACAATGGAATACTACACAGATGTTAGGAAAAATGAAGACACGAAATTTGCTTATAAATGGACAGACTTGGAGAGTATCATGCTGAGTGAAATGAGTGAGAAGGAGAAGCACAGATATAGAATGACTGCACTTATTTGTGGGATATAAGAAAAATAGTATGACACTAATAGCCAAGGCCAGGAAAAACAGAGGCCAGAAGGACTGGTCAATGGTTGGAAGCTTGTCACAAATGTGTGGGGCAAAGGGCAGTCAGGATATAGAAATGACCAGTGTGAAAATAATAGTCAGAAATGATCACTCTGGACAATAACTGAGTGTTGAAAGTAGGCGAAGGGCTGGATATATATACATATATATATATATATATATAATGATAACCTTTCAGTATCTATGGGCTGGAGCGATAGCACAGCGGGTAGGGCGTTCGCCTTACAAGCGGCCAACATGGCCGACCCGAGTTCGATTCCTCCGCCCCTCTCGGAGAGCCCGGCAAGCTACCGAGAGTATTCAATATGACAAACACAGTAACAACAAAGTCTCCAATGGAGACATTACTGGGCCCGCTCGAGCAAATTGACGATCAACGGGAGGGCCTTTACCTTTACCTTTTCAGTATCTGTACTGCAAACCATAATGCTCAAAACTGGGGAGAGAGGGAGGGAGAGAAGGAGAGACAGAGAGAGAGAAAGAGATAGAGAAAGAGAGAAAGTGCCTGCAATTGAGGCAGGTGGTAGGGAGGAGAAACTCAGGACGTAAGTGGTGGGAAATCTACACTGGTGAAGGAATGGGGCTTGGGACATTATATGACTGAAATCTAATCATGAACAGCTTTGTAACTGTCTATCTCACATAAAAATGAAAGTATCAGAAATGTTAACTCCTAAGTGACAAACATAAACTTACAATGAGTGTATCTAGAGCATGTCCCACAAGATGCTCAATGTGAAAAGGGCAATGGTAGTGATTCCTTTAAATGTATGTGGGAAATTTCAAAGAAAAACATATGAAATTGAAAATAAGAGAATATTTAGGCTTTTAAAATATCTAAGTTCAAAGGAGGGAAATTTGGGGATATTTATATGATTCATACGAAGCACTCTGGATAATGTAAAATGCAAACTCCAGTGAACAGAAAGTTTTAAGCATATAACAAGATAAGATTAGTAAAACACCTTATAAAATATAAAGTTTAGCTTTTACACAATATAGTCTATGTATGAGATTTAAACATTTAATACTGTTTTAGAGTAGTATGTATATTTTAAATAACTACCACAAAAATCACTAAATCACTTAAAGTATACTTACAAGGCAATAAAGAAATTTATCCTGGTATGCTCATTTATAGTAAATTTAGCTCTCTTGAAATAAACAAAAGTCATAGCCAAAAGATACTATAGGGAAAAAAGTTAAAGTTAATATTAATGTTTTGCTTTCATAATTTTTTAAATAATGAGCCAAAACAACAAAGCATTATTTATCTTTATTAAATAATTATCTATCTGAGCACTTATCTTTTGGTTTCCTGTGATTCATATAGCCAGAAATTTTTCTTGAGCACCTATCAAGGTGATTAGGATTACAACTAGAATGAACTCTAAAATTTTTTGGTCAATATCTTTAAACTAGAAATCTGATTTTTTGTTTGTTTGTTTTTTTGGGTCACACCCGGCAATGCAGAGGGGTTACTCCTGGCTCTGTGCTCAGGAATTACTACTGGTGGTGCTCGGGGGACCATGTGGGATGCTGGGAATTGAATCCAGGTTGGCTGAGTCCAAGGCAAATGCCCTCCCCGCTGTGCTATTGTTTCAACCCAGCTGATGTAATTTTTGCATTTTGAAAAACGATGTAGTTCTAACTTAAACTTCAAATTCAGAGAAGATGGAAAAGCAGCAATATACATATATTCTTCATCTAGATTCACCAATTATTACTTATCATATTTGCATAACGTATGTATATAGTTTTTCCATACTGCAGATGTCTCTATACAGTTTTTGGTTACAGTCAGCAGGATACTTAGTGGTTGCTCCAGTGGTATTCAGTGGAACAAGCAGAGCTAAGGACTGAATACAGGCCTCCTGCATGCAAAGCATGTTCACTACCTCTTTGAACTCTCTACAGACCCTAAAATAATCTCTTGAAATTAAACTCAAATCAGAAATTAAAATCAACCATTTTCATTGACAAGTGCTTTAACGCTACTATTGTTTTACTTTGGGGTCACACCTGGTAGTGCTCAGGGATTATACCTGGCTCTGTGCTCAGGAATCATTCCTGGCAGGGCTTGGGGAACCATACTTGGTGCCAGGGACTGAACCTGGTTTGGCCGTGTGGAAGGCAAGCGCCTCACCTACTATACTGTCTCTGACTCCTAATTGCACGATTACAAAGATGCAGGTTCTGATAATTAGCACACTATGCAATAGTCTGTTCAAATTAAAAATAAGTTATAATACTAATATATTAGATTCCCTTTCATAAAAAGCCTACTTAAGCTACTTTCATGGGATCGGGTAATTTCAAGTTTTCAAGGTAATTTAAAATCTTGGGGTCAAGAATGTGGCTCAGTGGTATTGTATAGATCTTACATGAATGAGGCCCTGAGTCCAGTCACGGCACCACAAATAATAAGTAGCGGAATTTTGAAATGGTGTTATAGTGCAGTACTTCTGATGAGTTAGGATCTCTGCTGCTCATCAACTTAACTAGTGCAGTTAAATATACAACTTCACATTAATTACTGGTTTTAAGGTATTACCGTTAGTTTTAGAGGCATCAGTGACATTATAATGTTGAAAATTCATCTTTTAGAGGAACATCCTAAAAGATGGATTTATTAAATGGTAGGATGGTTAAGATCTGCTCCAAATTAACCCAGCTGGGAGAGATGGTTTGGAAGACATGAGAGCATGAGTTGTAGCAGTAGCTGACTAGAAAGCATATGGATCTGTCCAATTCAAACTCTTAAGTTTGAATTATGTATGTTCAAACTTTTCCAAAATTAAATTCCCAAAATTGAAAAACGTCTTTTTCCCCCTAATCGAATCACTATAAATTAAAGTTATTCATGGTGAGAAAGGTCTTATTTTAAGGTTATGTTAAAATCCAAGTAAAAGAAAAGTTTGTATTAGTTGAAATTTAACCTAAAACTGTTCCACTTATTTGTTGTTCTATTTGTTGACACATATTTTAAATGTGATTGAAGCCTTGTTGAAAGTTTATATGTATCAACTTTGTCAAAGATGTCATTTACAAAGTTGAAAAGAAAGCTAACTATTCATCTAAATCTGAAGAGTACTATAAATATTACAGTTTTGGTATGTAAATTACCATCAGGATGTTCTTTTAGGAATCACTATTTTCTAAATAATGTAACAAATGAATCTAACTCTATAAGATTTGGATTTGTTTTACCTATATTACTTATAAAATATTAAATATGTAACAAATTGACTGAGTAAAATGAGTATTCTTTTGCCACAAATGACAAGAAGGTAATAGCTCTGATAAAAACCATAAATGTATATTCTTATTTTCATTCAAACATATATGAACTTATATATTAATATTCTATCTAAACAGTAATATTCTACAATTCCTTAAGTAGAAAATGAATCTACAATACATGTGTAATAAATTAATGCTAATTAAAAATTTAAAATGAGAGAGAAAGAGAAGAGAGAAAGAGAGAGGAAAAGTGCCTGCCATGGGTTGGGGTGGGGGGTGAGGTGGAGGGAGACTGTGACATTGGTGGTGGGATATATACACTGGTGAGGGGTAGGTGTTGGAACAGTATATGACTGAAACTCATGATGAACAACTTTGTAATTGTGTATTTCTCTGTGATTCAATTAAAATTAAAAAAAAGTTAAAACAGATTGAGCAATGCAGACTTATTCTTTTCATAGGTTTAGTTAATAAGAGAAAATTCTTATAGGGTTTCATTAAATTTCCGATGGAACAGTAATACAATCAAGAGGGCTTAATGATATCCAAATTTACCTTGTCTGCAATTTTACAGCAGCAGTCCATCCACAAGAAATCTTGAATTAAATCGTCATCTACAACAAAAGATAACTATAACTAGTCTTTTAAAAACAGGATGTTTCCCTTTGAATAATGTATGTCAATATAACAAGGTTATAAATGACAAATAAATGACATATAAAACAAATAAAAATGTTTGTACAATTATGTCTAAAATGTAATTTTCATCTCTTTGATATTTATAATCACATACAAGACATTACTGCTCTAACTCAGCTTCGCATCTAATTTGCCATAAAGAATAGCTCAGATTGGAAAATGTTAAAAGTGTAAGCTTTATTGAAAATTTCAAAAACTCAATTTATAACTATAGATTAGTTTATCACACACTCTCCCCAAATTTAATCTTCTTACATAAAGGAGACCTGATAAAAAATAAAATAGAAAATGAAGTATGGCAATAGTCCTTTTCTTTTGCTTCTGGTTTTATGGGCCACATCCAGTGATGCTCAGGAATTGCTCTTGGCAGTGCTTGGGGGGACCATATGGGGTGCTGGGGATTGAACCTGGGTCATCCACGTGCAAGGCAAATGCCCTACCCACTGTACTATCTCTCTTGCATGATAATTTAGTCTTCAAGAAATAATGACCTAGTAGAAAGTGTTTTCTAAATACATACATATATATATATATATATATATATATATATAAAGGCCCCTCCCGTTGATCGTCGATTTGCTCGAGCGGGCCCAGTAACGTCTCCATTGGAGACTTTGTTGTTACTGTGTCTGGCATATCGAATACTCTCGGTAGCTTGCCGGGCTCTCCGAGAGGGGCGGAGGAATCGAACTCGGGTCGGCCATGTTGGCCACTTGTAAGGCGAGTGCCCTACCGCTGTGCTATCGCTCCAGCTGTGCTATCGCTCCAGCTGTGCTATCGCTCCAGTTGTGATATATATATATATATATCACAACTTTTTTTGTTTTAACTCCAAGGCAGTTTTAGATTTGAGTCTTTTTTGGTCTTTATTGTTGTGGGGGCCTCTCTCAAGGGTGCTAGGGGCCAGGCTGTGCTGAGGATAAAACGCAGGACCAAATATATATACTTCCCTGCTCTCTGAATAATTGATTTTTTCTTTTTGGTCAGTTGTTTTCATTTTTTATTCTTTTTTTCCCCTCAAAGTTCTCTGTCCAATTATGTAACATTCAAATACACATGAAAGTAAGAGATTTTTTTCTTTTGGAAGTTTTCTTTAAATTTTTAGTAAAAGATTTTTAAGATGATTCATAATTCATTAGTATTTATGTTATAGTCTAACAATTATGGGAAAAGTCTCAAAAACACTTTTTGACACAAAGATAAAAATGCTGTAAAATAACATAGTAGGTCAAAAGCATAAGTATCTGTGATCTTATAATCTCTTTAATTTGATATATTAGAAGTATCAATGATACAGATATATGTAATGCTCCAAGAATAAGTAATAATTTTGAGAATTTTTCCCCTAATTTCATTTAGATTTTTCAGTAATCTGAAATGGTAGAGGCAGGCACAAATAGTTCTTTGGGAGGGCTGGAGAGAGAGTGCAACAGGCAGGGCACAACACAAGCTTTGTGTCCAGGAAGCCTGGGTTTGATCCTTGTCACCACGTGACTTCCCATGCCTGTGAGAAGCCGCCTCTGGCACTGAGCTGGGAGGTGCCCCTGAGAATTTCTAGGTATGGCTCAGGAAAAAGAAATTTGTGGGTAAAGGGCAGGACGCAGCTCAGAAGTAGAGTGCATGCTTTGTGTGTCTATGACCCGGGGTTCAATCTCCAGCACCTTAATCCCCCTCCAAACGACCCGTCCCACCATAAAAGTCTTCTCTAAGCAGAACTTGTACTGGCAGCATTCTAAATGTTGGATTTTATATTTTTATCTTCTTTATTTTGACTTTCCTTAAAAATCCTAATCTACTTACCCTTAAAAAGAGATTCCTATCCTCTTAACAGGGCAGACTTGACTCTTTCCCAAAAATCTCTCCTCCTAGTCAATCACATATGCCTTCCTTTATAAACAAATATCCTATTTCCTGACCCTACCAGAATTAATCTACTTGACTTACTTCATTCCCACAGGTATTTACATTACCCATCCATTGTACTCTTTTTTCTATCTTCCTATTCTACATATATTTTTAAAACTCTCTTTTCTTTTTTGGCCAATAGAGCACTATAATTTTTTTAAAAAGAAATTAATCGATAAAGTAGCAATTCTTATTTGAAAGAATTCAAATTCAATTTCATTATATAAAATATGACCATGACAATACAACAGAGTTAATTTTAGCAGTAATTCCTTGATATAATAATACTGAAAATTCTTCATGTGATTAACCTTTCCAGTTTGCTCAGTTTTAATACCAGAAATTTTGAGAACTCCCCGATGTCCAGTCCAATTGGGAAGGGTGGTTCACCAGAGACTGTAGTTATTTTACTTTAGCACAAACAAAACTGTTAGAAACGAACTTGAATTGCCCAGAATTTACATTTGAAACTCGGATTTTAGTAGTCTAGAGGCTAGAGAAGAGTAACTTTTTAATCCAAAAGTAATCCAAACAGAGCCCAACTTTAAAACTTTAAAAATACTTTACAATGAACTACTATTATATTTTAAACCTACCAAATAATTTAAAGAAAGCAGTCATTTCTTGACGCTGTATAACTAGACAGGGTCCTTTGGGACGTTTAGACTTGTTATTATGTGCATTTTTTTCAGATTCTGGCCAACTATCTTTAAAAATAGGACGCTTCAAATTAATGGGCTTTTTAGGCTGATGGGATCTATTTGACCCTGATTTTACATGAACAGTAACAGTAGGTGGTGTCTCACAACACAGCTGATTATGCCTCATTTTGGTTTTCCAAGATTCCTGGAAAAATAAAACATACAATTATTTATCATATTTACTTCTTTATAAAAACAAGGACATCACAGAGCCAACGTTACTATGTTGCTATTAAAGGTTAATTGTGGCAATCACAAAGGAACTGGTTTCAGAATTCAGTGCTAAGAATAGCTATGCTTTCCCTCAGTAACTGATAACACTTTATCTTCCCATATAAGATTCTGTATACCATTTTGCTTTATTAGGGAACTCAAAACCAAATTAAAAAGCAATTATAGAAACAAAGCTGAGATTATATAATTTGTATGTGGTATTTCTTTGCCCTCATAATTTTATGATTCTGCTTTATTGATAACTTTATAGAAACTATTTTCCCATCTTAATTATTAGCAACAGCAAGTGTTTATTTAAAAACTTCTCCATTCCATACTTACTGATAAATTTTGCGATATCAGATTCACTTATTCAAAAAGCATTTGCCGAAAAAGTAAAAATCCAGCAAAGAAACGTATGCATATGTGCTTTGAGGGATTCTAATAGGTTAATGGTCTGATTTTTTTTTTTGGTCTTTTTTCTTTTTTTGGCCACACCCAATGGAACTCAGGGGTTCCTTGCGGCTCGACACTCAGAAATTACTCCCAGCGGTGCAAGAGCTCGTATGGGATGCTAGGGGGAATCAAACCTGGGTTGGCAGAATGCAAGGCAAGGGCACTACCTGCTGTACTATCGCGCCAATCCCCAGATGATCTGCTTTTTTTTTTCTTTTTGGGTCACACCTGGCGATGCACAGGGGTTACCCCTGGCTCTGCACTCAGGAATTACCCCTGGCGGTGCTCAGGGGACCATATGGGATGCTGGGAATCGAACCCGGGTCGGCCGCGTGCAAGGCAAGGGCACTACCTGCTGTGCTATCGCGCCAACCCCCAGATGATCTCAGCGTTAAAGTTGTGATGACCAAGATACGCTCAGTGGCTGATTTTACGTATACATGAATGTTCGGTGTTAAAGTTTAATAAAATCAGAAAGACAAACTACCATCATGTAAAAATATTCCGGCACCAGCGCACGGTGGTGATTAGCTCATTACTACAGTTAGGAATACTTTGTCCCCCCCTTTTTTCTTTTTGGGTCCCAACCAGCAATGCACAGGGGTTCCTCTTGGCTCATGCACCCAGGAATTATTCCTGGCGGTGCTGGGGGGGGGGGGACCCTAGGGGATGCAGGGGATCGAACCGGGATCGGCCGCGTGCAAGACGAACGCCTTTCCTGCTGTGCCGTGCTCCTGGACTTTCCTTCTTTTTACCTTGATATTTTTATTTATTTTTGTTTTTTTGCTTGTTGGGGCGCAACCCGGCGATGCGCAGGGGCCCCTCCTGGCTCTTGCACTCAGGAATTATTCCTCCTGGCGGTGCTCGGGGGAACCATACCGGAGGATGGGTGTGTGTGTGTGTGTGTGTGTGTGTGTGTGTGTGTGTGTGTGGTGTCACGTGCCTCTCACTCCGTGTGTGTGTGTGTGTGTGTGTGTGTGTGTGTGTGTGTGTGTGTGTGTGGTGTCACGTGCCTCTCACTCCCCCCGGACAAACACTGAGGACTTGGGGGGGGGGAGGCAGCCCCGAGGCCCCCCAGGATGGGTGTGTGTGTGTGTGTGTGTGTGTGTGTGTGTGTGGTCACGTGCCTCTCACTCCCCCCGACAAACACCGAGGACTGGGGGGGGGAGGCAGCCCCGAGGCCCCCCAGGGCCGTTTCCGGGCGCGTTGTCCGCAGAGCCGAGACCCCAGCCCCGTCTCCAGCCCTGCGCGTCCCCCACCCCGGGCTGCCCGCGTGGGGTCGACCCCGCGCCCGCCCCCCCGCCCCACCGCGCTCCTCGGAGCCCCTCCCCTCTCTCCCCGCCCCCCCGTTTCTCGGCGGGGGGGGGCTTCTGGGCGCCCCCCTAGACCCGACGGCGTCGCTGCGGCCCGCGAGGGCTCGTGTCCGCGGCCCGTGCGGGGTCGGGGGACGCCGCAGCCCCCAGCCCGGGAGGTACCTGCAGACCCCCGCGGCGGGGAAGCCGAGCGCAGCCGCCGCCTCACACGACGCCTGAGGGACCGTTGCTCGCTCCGCTCGCTCCGAGCCGCACGCCCCCGCGAACCCTCCCGCCAACAGGGCCGGCAGCCAATCAGCGCGCGCGCTAAGGGCCCGGGGGCGGAGCCTGACCCGGGCGGCGGCGGCGGCGGCGGCGGCACGTGACCCTGACCCGCCCTTGGCTGCAACGTCCGTCCCTCCGCCTGCGGGCTTGCTGCGGCGACTGTTCCCCTGTGGCCTCCTCGGGCTTTCAGGCCAGGAAGAGCCCAGGATCCCTTGAAGGTCCGTCAGAAGTCACTTAACCTGCGGCGGGACGTTTATCAACAATCAAGATTTTCTTGAAAAAAAAAATATATATATATTTATTTATTTAATTTTTGCTTTTTGGGTCACACCCGGTGATGCTCAGGGGTCCCTCCTGGCTCCTGCACTCAGGAATTACCCCTGGCGGTGCTCAGGAGACCCTCTGGGATGCTGGGAATCGGACCCGGGTTGGCCGCGTGCAAGGCAAACACCCTACTCGCTGTGCTATCACTCCAGCTCCCCCCCTTCTTTTTTTGATGTTGTTGGGGGCGGGGGCATTGCCGGTGGTTGCTCAGGGGTTGCTCAGGGGTTACTCCTGGCTCTGCACTCAGGAATTGTCACGGGCAGTGTGCACTATCTTTGTCATCGTGGTCACTTCTCTATCACAACTGTCCTCTCCCCCAGCACTCAACGCAGGCTTCCAACCATGGACCAATCCTCCTGCCCCTTGTACCCTTGTATCTACTGTCCTTGGTTATTAGTCTCATATTATTATTATTATTTTTAAATATCTCACAAATGAGCCCAATCATTCTATGTCTGTTCCTCTCCTTCTTACTCAGCATGATACTCCCCATGTCCATCCATGTATAAGCAAATTTCATGACTTCGCCTTTCCTAACAGCTGCGTAGTACTCCATTGTGTAGATGAACCATAGTTTTTTAGCCAGTCATCTGTTCTCCGGTACTCGGACTGTTTCCGGATTCTGGCTATTGTCTCACCCAGATTTCGATCAGCCTCTATCCTTTGCCAGAAGCCTGTGACCCTCATCAATGTCTCTTTGGACCCCTGTATAGATTAAAACTATTTTAGTTGTCCATTATTTTAAAGACAAGTAGCACTGCACTGTAGCACTGTCCTCCCATTATTCATCGATTTGCTTGAGCGATAGCTGACTTATATTTGGGCCCTAGAATCAAAGCCTCTGACCCTTATCAATGTCTCTGGACCCCTGCAGGAGCTAGAGGAGGAGAATTCAGCCTTGCAGAAAGAGACCGCTGAGCAGCAGAAGGAAAAGGAGAAGCTGGAGTTCATGCTGGTGGCCCATGGGCCCAGGTGCAAGAGCAGCGTCCAGGACCGTGGATTGCCCCCAGCCTCTGGGCTACAGTCGCTGCACAGTGCAGGCACCAGAGTGGGGTCGGTAATAGTGAAACAGGAGCCTTGGAAGAGGACAGCCCCTTGTCCTTCACAGCAGGGCTGGACAAGGCCTAGTGCTTCATCATCAAACCCATCAGCATTGCTGGGGACATCTCTGGGGAGGAGCCCCTCACCCCCATCATGGTGAACTCCACGCCTGCCATCACTCCATGTACTTTGAGCCTTGTCTTCACCTACCCCGAAGTCCTGGAACAGGAGTCTTTCGCATCACTCTCAGCGCCCTGCTGCAAGGCTCACCACAGAAGCGGTAGCAGCGGGGACCAGTCGTCAGACTCCTTGAACTCCTGCTAGCTCTGTAACCCACTCCCTGGCTCCTCATCACTGCCTCCTTGCTGCGCTCCAGGGACCCAAGGATAAGGTGGCAGGATTCCCGGCAGAGAGCTCTCTGGGGAGACCCAGGTAGGACCTGGCAGTGAGGAGTGGAGGGATTGGATAATCTCCTGGAGATCCTGGGAACTGCTCCCTGTTCATCAGCTAATATTGCTTAGGGGTGGATGGATGTGGCTCACCTGAGGTCAACTGTTGGAGACCATGAGGGATCTTGCTTGGGAGCATACTCCCTGAGTGTGGGAGAGGTCCACAGGGCCCAGACAATGGGGTGACTCTGTGCTAGAAGGAGAGGATTCTCTCTTTCTCTCTTTTTCTCTTTCTCTCTTTCTCTCTATCTCTCCCTCTCTCCTCTCTCTCTCTCTCTCTCTCTCTCTCTCTCTCTCTCTCTCTCTCTCAATAGGAATTGCCTTACTCACAAAGACAGCCCAGGACAAAGACAATGTGGACCTGGCACTTCAACAATAATTCCTCAATGCATCAGTGTGCTCCTCTTCTCTCTTACGGGGACAGGATTGTTGATTCCTTATGCTGAGTAAGTTTCTGGAGGAGGTTAGACTCAGAGAAAAGCAAATCTTTGGGAAATGTATAGATTAATACTACTTCTTTAGTTGTCCATTATTTTAAAGACAAGTAGCACTGCACTGAAGCACTGTCCTCCCATTGTTCATCGATTTGCTTGAGCGGGCCCAGTAATGTCTCCATCGTGAGACTTGTTGTTACTGTGTTTGGCATATCGAATATGTCATGGGTAGCTTGCCAGGCTTTGCCTTGTGGGTGATATATTCTAGGTAGCTTGCTGGGCTCTCCGAGAGGGACAGAGGAATCGAACACGGGTTGAACACATGCAAGGCAAATGCCCTACCCGCTGTGCTATATCGGTCCAACCATTTTAAAGAAAATTATTCTTTTTTTTTCTTGCTTTTTTTGGGTCATACCTGGACAGGAGTTCCATGCACAGGGGTTACTCCTGGCTCGTGCACTCAGGAATTACTCCTGATGGTGCTTGGGGGACCATTTGGGATGCTGGGAATCAAACCCAGGTTGACTGTATGCAAGGCAAACGCCCTACCCACTGTGCTATCCCTCCAGTCCAATACAAGTTTTCAAAGCTATTATCTTAGAAAAAATTAATACAGAAATATTATCCCCTTAT